AACGTGAGCCTGGAGTGGAGGCATTGCACCAGGTATTTCAGATGGGTGTGATTTGCTGGGCATGGTGTTGCACATCCATCATCCCAGCACTCTTGGGGTGGAAGCAGAATTGAAAATTCAAGTCAAGTCTGGGAAATTCAGTGGCTTAACAATTAACTGTCGGGGCTGGGAATTTAGCTCAGTGGCATAAGTGCCTGCCTTGAAAGCAAGCAGTCGTGAATTCGATCCCCGGTACCTATAAAAAGGAAAAAGACAAAAAAAAATACATATATATAAACAATTAACTATCTCCAAAATTAAAAATAAGAGCTGAGCACCCTGCAGACAGACGTATGGCCTGGTGGCTTGGGCAAGGCTAAGCAGCGTGGCAGGAGCCTCGAAGAATCATATTGAACAGAGGTGAGCTGGACTGGACCACAGGGACTTCGCACAAATCGCCACCAGCCAGCACTTCCCACCGGGCATTGCGAGGGTCTGCTGGGAGCTGAGTGAGAGACAGGCAGTGCAGATAGGACTCAAGGAACAACAGCAAGCAAGGGGAAGTGAGCTGTCACAAGGCGTCAGCAGGAAGGGGTACCAAGGAAAGCCCCAGAGACAAGGGAATGTGAGGATGAAGGCAGTGTGACTTGGGAGGAGAGAGGGAGGCCCCAGGACCCGTTGTGTGTTCACAGCTTTTCTGGTTCCCCAGGGACACCCTCTCTGGGTGTCTCCACTAAGGGGGTCCCCTGTTCCCCATTCTAGTGTGAGTCTATGCCTTCCCACATTCTCTGCCCAGTCTATGCCTTCCCACATTCTCTGCCCAATATGGGAGCCTCTGGCAGGATCCCAGGAGGCAGACGGAGGAGTGCCCAGCTCCTCCCTCCAAGGGCCCACCAGAGGGCAGTAGTGGGCCCAGGCCTGTGCTTGCTGGGACCTGGGCACCTTCTCATGGGCACAGAACCAACCCTAGGCGCAGTTCTATTGAAAACTCAGAGTGGTCCCATTGCTCTGGTTGGATCTGCCTGGCCCAATACACTCTAGCCCCCTTCATACCAGCCTTGTCACCCTCAGGATGGGTCTCATGCCCCAGGTCAGCCAACTAGCTGGACTGGAAGCTTGCCGTGGGTTGGAGGTTCTGTGCTCAGCCAGAGCTGGCCACCTTTGTAAGTGGAAAGGAAGAGACTAAAGCAGGAACAGACAGATCAGGTGTGATGGTACATGCCTGCGGCCCCAGCACTCAGGAGGTTTAGGCTGGTGGGTCGTCACAAGTTTGAGGCCCTCTGGGCTACACAGTGAGTTCAAGGCCAGCCTGTACTACACAGTGGGACCCTGTCTCAACAATGGCAAGAACAACAATGAAAACTAAAGGAGGGACATGTTTGAAGAGCCAGAAGACAATATGACCTAAATAGTCTCCCGGGGTAATTAAATCCTCAGAAGAGTTGGGGATGATATGGAAAGGGTACTGAGATAGGGAGGTGACCTAGGAAGGGAAAACCAATCAGGAAATAAGAAGAGCTGAGTCAAGCCAGGGGTCCATCCCTAAGAAGTCTAGAGTGGAGGGTCTCAGGAGGGAATGTCTAGTCTCCGATGTGGTCAAAGCATTTCTCCCCAGTGCCCCAGGCCCCACGCTCTGCCATGCTTGTGATTCCTCCCCACTACCACCTCCACAGTAGGTAAGAGAGATGGGACAAGTAGGGGCCGGAGCTGGCTGACAGTGGTGAACTGTCACTGTCACTGGTGGAAATGTTACCAGCTGGCCCAGGTCATGGGTTTCCCTGTATGGCACAGCTGTCCAAGTTCCACAGTATGAATACTCTCATCTGTCCAACTCCCAGAGATATTCTACAGAATAAAAAGAGAGCCCATCACACCATGCCCATCTCTGTCCATCCATCCTCACCTCTTCTTCCTTGGCCCTCCTGCAGACCACTACATAATGGCAGTCACAGAAAGGCAGCATCAGCCTCTCTTCTGAGAGTGTCCACCACCACCACCCCTGCCCCATATCTGTATTCTTCCCAAGCACAAGGTCTCACAGGAGCATAGGTCCCAGGACCCTAGGACACGCAGATGATTGACTGGCCACTTTCTCCCTAAACACAGCTGCACCTCATGGACCAGTTGACTAAGCCAGTAAATGCCAGAACACAATTTCTTTATCCAAAACAAACACAAAAGAACAAATAATCCAAGGGCAGCATTCTGTGAGGCAGGTGCTCTGGGGGCAACCCTGCTTTGAACCCTGGGTCGTCTTTTACAACAACATCGCAACCTCAGGCCAGTCATTGCTACGCAGGCCTTGGTTTGCTTGCCTATGGGAATGATACTACTGCTACTATTCTAAGGAGTCAGACTGCAGTTCTCATCTGGGCTCTGTGGTGGCATCTATCTGGAGACATTTTTGTCTTGATGTGGGGTAAATAGGGGGTGCTATCGGTATTTAGTGGACTGAAGCCAGAAATGCTCTTAAACACTGTACAAAGCACAGGAAGTTCCCCCTTTAACAAAGAATTCTCTAACCCAAAATATCAATAGTGCTAGGCTGAGATACCCTGGGGCACAGTGAATATTCAGTGAGGTTTTACGCACAAAACACTGAGTACATGCCTGGCTTACTTTCTGAAGTTCTGGAAAAACAGAAGCCACTATTCTTTTGGACTGGCACAGTCTTCCCCACCTCTTTCCAGACCTAAAGCAGATAGGATGTGAAACCACTTGAGTACTAAGAACTTAGCTCACCACTCTCCAGGTGTGAGTCACTCTGTAAATGTCAATGATTTCATTTATATCGGAGCTGAGGCTACACAAGTGAGTCAGGGCTCGAAGTCTTCCTGGGCTGTTGTGACTTGGGCAGGGAGGAAGCCAGCTTGCCCCAAAAGATTCCTTCCAGGGTATGTGAGTTTTCTAAGGCTCAGAGGCACCACAAAGCCCCCTTGCATGGGGAGAGGGGTTTGGACTGTTTGTCATCTCACTAAAACACATAGGGGCTTGGAAAAAACTGAGGAAAAAGTAGCCAAAACCAAGAAGCCCTGCTCTTCCCAACTACTTTCTTTGCTCCTGTGCAGTTGTGTTCCTCCCCATCACCTGACCTGAAATTCCTTCTGTGGAGCTGCAGTGCTGGGTCAAGTTCCCTCTATCACTGTGCACATTAGTGTTAGTAGTGCGTAGAGGTAGGAGACCCCTCGCAGGAGAGTGACTAGAAAAGTGTCCCTCAAGCTGGGGACACAAGTCTCCTAAAAAAGGAAGGCTGAAAAAGAAGGCCAAGTGCATGTGTAGAATCTGGCCCACGCCTCGACTTTCCTAAGAAGTCGTGTGCCCGGAGGCAAGCAGGTGGTGGGAGGACAAACACTCACCCAACCTGTACAGCTGGCTCAATTCTGTCTTTGTTTGAATCACTGAAATACAGAACACTGGAGTGAACTAGGTCTGGGGTCCCAGCTCCCCTTCTTGCTCACTGTGCTCCAAGCAGGCCATCAGCAGCCTGGCTCAGAATCTGCCTGGCTCTGAAACACAGGCTCTGTGGGTGCCATACCCTGCCTGCAGGAGGGGGGTGGGGGAGCCAAGATACAAGGTTGCCTGCAAATAAAATAGGGATTAGGGCTATGAGGAGCTGCAGGCTCTGCACTAAGATATTCAAATTTAAGTTAAAAAATAAAAAACAAGAACATTGGGTCACATAGGACAAGGTGGTGCATGCCTGTCATCCCAGCACTCGGTAAGCTGAGCCAAGAGGATCCCATGTTCAAGACAGCCAGAGCTACACAGTGAGTTCACAGCCAACGGCCTCCATAGCAAGCCCCTTTCTCAAAAGAAGAAAAAGCAAACGACATTGGGCCAGCTGAACAAAATGGATTTGTGGCCTAGGTGAGAAATAAGACCTCAGGTTGTCAGTTTCCCACCCCTGCTTGAGTTTCCCAACCCCTGAGTTGGCTTCCCCAGCCCCTGGTCAGAGTCCATCCACTGGGTGCCGACCTCCTGAGAGAGGCACTGGGATGGAAAGTCCTTCCCAGGGGGTCCCAAATGGCCTCTCTGGAGATTCACCATCCCTGCCTACGTCTCCTGATGGAATCAAGGAGACAGAGTAGGAGCACATCTCTTATTCTGGAGACTTCAAAAAATAATGACGTTTGGAATTTTCATGACAAATGAAACCACAAGCTCATCATGGGAACACTAGAAAATACCTCAGCAAGTTAGAAAAATGCTCTCTGCCGTGCCACCGCTCCCTGTCCCTCATTCAAGAAGGAGCACTGTGACAGTAGTGCGTGTCCCCAGGTCTGCTCTGTGCTCCGCGTGGATTCCAGACTCCTGACACTTTTCGAGGGACAGCAACTGTAGCTGTCTCCCTGGTCCTCGGTCTGTCCTCGGTCTATGGTGGTCGGGAACAGCGAACAGCATTCCCTTTGTTGACATACACATGTATTTTTGTTATCGTTGTTTTGTTTTATTTGTACCAAGAATTGAACCCTGGGCCTCGCACTTGCCAGGCAGGCGCTGTGCCGCTGAGCTACATCCCAGGCCCGGAAACAGCATTCCTAACCCCACAGCCCCAACTCTAGTGAAGAGGAAGCTGCAAGCTGACTAAAAAGAGAGACGGAACGCGCTCGCGCGCGCGCGCGCCCTGCGCCCTGCCATCTCCAAGGTAACCGGGCCCGCGCGGGGAGTGCCAGCGCATGCGTATAGTCCCCCTTCCGTCCTGTAATCTCAAGAATGCCACCGGTCCAGAGCAGCAGGGGCCGAGTGCGCATGTGCAAAACAGCCTCGCCTCCGCCTCCTGTCAATCGGCGGGCCCAGTAATCTCTTCTACAAACCTTGCTCGGAAATAGTGCCTGTTTTTGGAAACGAGGCCTCGTTAGCCAATCGTTACTAGGGAGGGAAACGCTGGCCCGCCGAACTGGGCCATCTCATTGGCTATTTTAGAAGAGTGGGTGGGAACAAAGTGGCGGTGCGGCCCCCAAGAAGGAGGAGCGAAGCTAGACGAAATCGCCGCCGCGGGGGGAGGCGTGGCTAGCGGGGCGGAGCGACCTGGCCCGGAGCGCAGGGGTCGGCGGCGGGGGTACTTCGCTGGTCCCGGCGCGGATACTTGCGGTGGAGGAGTCGGCGCTCGGCCGGTAGGTGACTGGGCGGTACGGGGCCCGCATGGAGCGCCGAAGAGCGGCGGGGCTGAGTCGCGTTCAGCTCGGGGCCGGGCTGCGGCCTGGCTGCCGCGCGTGTCGGGGCCGACAGGGCCAACTCGCCCTGAGCCTGCGCCCGGGTCCGCACGCCCCCTCGCGGGCCCGCTCCGCCCGGCCTGGCCCCGTCGCTGGAGGCCCCATGGACCCGCGGCGGGGCGGAGCCGGCCATCCACGCCCTACCCACGCCGCGGCTGGGTGTCACCTCTACCCTGGAGCCATGGTGGCCCTTGGCGACTTGGGCAACGGAGGGTTCCCTCCTGCCCAGCACCTCCATGCTGTTCAGTTGCTTCACGGAAAGCCTTTGAGTTGGGGTGGAAATGTTGCTCGCAGTCCTAGAGGAGAGGGAGCTGAGCTTGAGTGCGGGGAGAAGAGAGTTGACTGGAGATAAGGTGCAGAAATCACTGGTGTCGATGACAAGGTTGTTTTTGTTAACCAGAGACAGCACCAGTTACTTGAAGTATGCTTTTGAAATGAGTGAAATGACATGCGGGTGGAACTGTGATGGGCGAGATAGCAGGCCGAAGTTTATTCGAAGGGAACCCTAAAAACAGGCTTCCTGAAAAATCGGAGAGCAACAGTGGCTGCGCATGAGTAGTGTGTCTTACCTAGCTAGTGTCATCTCTGTAACCTCGGTCCTCCGTTTGGGAAGTGGGACACTGCACTGGCTGGTTCTGTATTCGGTGAGGCCCACAACGCCCGGCTAGGATGGACGGAGGGTTGACAGGACCACAGAATAAGTCAGATGGAGAAAGAAGGAGAGTGTTTAGGCTGGTGTTTCCACTCCTGCTATGAGAGGACACTTTGAAGGTGCTTGTCTTGCTTAGAATGTGTTTGGATTTTTTCTTGATATTTTTAAATGATGTCAAAGTTCTTTCCATTGGAATGATGCCAGACTTCTGAATTTTTCAAACACCTGTAAGACATCCTCATTTATATGGAAGGATGTTGAACTTCTCAGAAAATCTCAAGAGAAAAGTGAGTGTCTGACTTTGTACCGAGGTGTATACTCAGAAATAGGTACTCACAGGTTGTGAAATCAGACTACCATAACTGCCAAGCTGTAGGTCATCTTTTAATTGTTTTCTAATTATAAGGAGCAATTCTGAAGGGGGATTTTGCCTTTGGCGTTGTCTGTTAGGGTTTGTGGGAGGGGCTCCCCGACAGACCCTGCCAAAGAGTCTTCATCTGTTAAACAAAAATATCTGGTCGGCCGTTTCGCCTCAACAGATGGAGATTTGGTTCCGCATTTTGGTTCTCCTGATGAACACTGGCTCCTTTGTGATCTGCCTGGAGTGTTTGTGTATCACTTAATGCTGCAAAGAAAGCTTACCCTGATTGGGCGTGCAGCCCTAGGCAGCTGCCATGAGTCCTTTGTGACAAGGATTCTGCTGAGCTAGAGCCAGCTGAGAGAACTGTGGAGGTGTAGAAGGGATGAAAGCTTTCCCAGAGTGGTATGCTGTATTGGTCCCTAAGAAGGGTGTTAGGTCATTTGACCAGTGAAGGCACTTTAGCTTCCTAATTTTTCCTGTTTCTGTGGATAGCACATGGGCTTTCCTGATGCGCTGTCTGCCTTGTGAAGAGAGCTGATAGAGTCTCCCTGTCTCCTTGATAGGAGGTGTCTTAAAACCAAATCCAGTCCTAAATAAAACCAAATTCAGTCCTAAATAAAAAGCCAAAAGCAGTTTGATACTCACACAGGCAGCATATTGCTACCAAAAGCATCCGTCATCTCAAAGCTGCTATATTTTTCCTGGCAAAAGGTTAAAATGCAACTAAAATTTTGCTTTCATGATTAATAAGTCACTACCGCAGTTGTGTCTGATGCTTCCTGTTTGCCCCATTTTAGTATTTCAGTTAAACTGGAAACATCTGAGCCTTGTGAGCACTTTTGATGGCACCCATGTGAAATCGAAGGGGGTAGAACAGTTGGGAAGTAAATTCAGGGAACCCTTAGGATAAGTCAGCTCTGCGGAGATCAAGGAAAGGAGAAAAAGGGGTTCAAAGCCAACCCTTGTGCTGCTGTCTGGAGCTGCAGACAGTAGGGAGCCGCAGGGCTGCGGGATGGGGCCCTTTGCTCTGGGCCTGTCTTGCCACCTGATCAGTAGTGCAGGAAATGTGTTCCTCGGTGCCTGTATGTCCTGCCATGTATTTAAATAGTCCTCCTCCTTTCTTGCTGTTTTACATCCTTTAATTCTTCAGCTCCCTGATGTGAATCCTTTGAAACTGTGAATAGGAGTAATTTCATAACCACCCTTTGAATTTTCTTAATCCTTACATGAAGAAAGACAGGAACAGAGATCTGAAAAGTGAAGCCTATCAAAAAGAAATAGACAGGATTACTGAAGAAATTGGTGTGCCTGGACTCTAAATCCTCTTTTCTTGACATCTAGTTTACTGCCTTTTCTACTAACATGCTCAAGAAAGGATCAGAATGGGGGGGAGGGGTTACCCCAAAACAATTTTGGACTTAACTAAACCAAGGAAGCAGCTCTAGCGACTCATTGTAACAATTATTCATTAATATTAATAGTTAATTATGGGTATTGTTAATGAAAGGCCAAAAGATGAGTAGCTTATCATGTGGTTAGGTCTGCTTATTCCCATTTTCCAGAGGCAGCAATTGAGGCAACTGATCTGTTCAGAGCAAAGTGTGGTGATTCAAGGCGTCATCTCAGACAGATCTGCTGCTGTGTGCCTGCAGGCCAGCTGCTCACTTCTCTGAGTGTTGTGTGCTCTCCTGTCAATGAATATGAGATATTTTATGAGGCAATTTTAAGTAGAAGGAAATGAGAGATAGTAAGTGTTGCACATAGCAGCTGTTGCTACTGCTGCTACTATTGTTAGTGATAGTTGTGATAGTACTAGTAATTACTGATCACCGCACTGTAACTACCCCTGTCTTCCGTAAGATGATATCAAGAAAAGAGACAGTGTCGGGCGCCACTCAGATTGCCTGACAAAACACAGTCATTTTCTCAGTAGAACCTGCAGGGAAACATTTCTCTAGCCTAGAGGTTTTAGCCATCAAGTTCTCCCAACCTGCACTCCATTCTGCCCTGACCACATTCTCAGTAAGTCTATAAAGAGCCAGGCCTTGCCTGGTTAGAGTTGGTACCCGGTGAACAGCCGGCACCCTCTAGGCCTCTGGAACTCCAGGCCACAGCAAGGCTGGGCCTATCTAGGACTCCCCCGTGTCCCACCAGTAATACACCAACCCTAGCATGGCCTCTAGGGGAAGAAGAAGGACAATGCAGTGTAAACACAAGGCAACAGGTCAGGAGGACTGCGAAAGAGGGTTGGTGCTGTGCAGGGAGGGTCCCACCACTACCTGCCACCCCAGCTCACCCAACTTCTCTCTCATAACCAGGTCTTGTCACCTTAACTCCCCTCCCAGGTCTGAGGGCCCTGGATCTAGAGTCAAGACTTGCAGATTTCCCTTAAAATCTCACAAGAAAAGAAAAAAGGCCATGTTAGATTTTAAATTCTTTTTTCTCCCTTAATACAAGACAAAAATATAGGCCCCTACCTGACTGGCATTCCCTTTAAATAACATTTTGTTTTCTCTTGAGGAAATTGTCTTCAGGGCTAGAGTCATTTCTAAAGTGAACCTAGTTTTTAGAAAAAATAGATCACCGGATGTCAAGCCCTGTGTGGAGCTTGCTTCAGAGGAAAAAGAAAGTGGCAGCCTACAGAGGCAGGCTGCTCTGACTTCAGGCTGAGATGAGAGGCAGCGTCTGGAGGCCTCTCAGGCCCCAGGCAGCCCCACAGCCTACATTCAGTAGGTGCTTTAGTCATTTTCCAAGGAGCTTTGCTTAGGTGAGCAGAGAGCACTTTCTCTGGAAGGTGAGTCACCCTTGCAAGGGTTAGGTTACAGGCGATCTGTCACCCGAATGTTAAAGAGGAAGTCCTGAGTAGACCTTGTTGAGGAGCCCTTTGCCAGCATCATCCTCACCTCAGCACAAGGCCAAGAGGAGAGAACAGGAAGCAACAGGAGGCTCCTGTGCTTGCTGACTGACAGACGACCACCCACAAGGGGTCACGTGGACGAGCCACAGAGCCTGGGTCAGCAGTGTGGCTATACTCCTGAGTCCAGCCACCTTGAGGGTGGAAAATGGCCCTCTTCCAGGGACAGTCAGTACAGCAGCAGGAGCTGGGAAATCCCTTGGCAGAGAGCAGAGAGAGACAAACTGTACTTTGGTATGAAAGACCTTTTGGGGAACCCTCTCCCCTGCCTTCTTCCTAGCTAACTGGGTTGGAGACTCACAACAGCACTAGTGATTGAAACACCTAGATTGTACCCTGGATTTCTGGAAGCTTTTGGAATCCTGAGCTTGCCACCACCTCAGCTATCTTACTTCCTAGGCCAGTGTTGGAGTCAGAAAGCTGCAGCAAGGAGAACACCTGAACTGCCTTTCCCTCCCCAGACCTAGCCTTGCAACTGCTGCTGACCATTTTTTTGAGGCCAGGTCTCACTGTGTAGTTCAAGCTGGGCTTGAACTCTCAGTGTAGCCCAGGCTGACCTTAAACTCACGGCAGTCCTGGATCAGCCTCCCAAGTACTGGGATTACAGGCATGTATCACATACCTGGCTCCCCTGTGTGTCCAGACATCTGGGAGCAGGTCTAGGATCACTCACAAATGGGCTGGACTTCATGGAACTGTAGCAGTGAACCAATTATTCCCTTCAAGTTGTCTAGTTTCCTCTCAGTTGTGTATTCCTCCTCAGCCCCAGAACCCATACCACATCAGTCTGGGCTAACCACTAGTCACTTTGGGTTGGCAGGGCTAAGTAACCTCTGACCTTAACTGCTGTGTCAAAACACTATTAGAATCACAGGCTAAAAATGGTTGTTAGTGTTTGCATCCTCCTATTTTGCAAGAAGGTAGCCCAAGATAGCCAAGTCAGTTTCCCAGAGCCACCTAGCTAATTAATGGCAGAGCCTGGACAACACACAGGCCATGTATGCTGGGTACTGGTACCACTGGACCCTGGAATTGCTCCTGGAACGGGAATTTTTGTCAGCCAGTGTCTCTCTTTGTTCCCCATACCAATGTTAATATTCCCAGCTTTCCTGCAAGTTACACCAGTCCTGGAGAAGGTAGTGCCCAAGCAGTGGCTGCCTAGGGTCTAAGGAAAAGTAAACAGTAATCTGTTTGACGCTTTCTTGAACCAAGAGGTTCATGTAATCAAAAGAATGCCAAGGTTGTTAAGAAAATACAATCCTGGGCAGAGTTATCTGGAAGTTCCAAAGGTTGCCTGCACCTGCTGGGCACTTCTTGGGTACTTGCCTATCTTGCCAAGCAGAGTCTTTCTCAGAGCGGGCATGTGGTGCAATAGTCCAAACCAGTGAGCACTGAGAGACTGTTCTGCAGTCATTTGCTGGGAAGTAGTGGTGTGCAGGAGTCGGGAGGACAGGCATTATCCCACCTGGTTGATCTGGTTCCTCAACAAGAGGCTCTTTCTTGAGAATGAAGTGTGATGTCCCTCTGAAGCTACCGAGAACTCTATATCCTAGATCCCCCCACCTTCCACTGACAATGGCCTTTCCTTTCACTGGGTTAGAACGAATGCTCCCTATGGATGGTTGGGAGTCTTGAAAGGAAAGGGGGCTCAGTGGGCCTTAGATGAGAATGCCATTGCAAAGTAAGTCACACCAGAGTCCTTTGGCCCAGGGAGTTATTTGGGAGAACACAGCTTTTTTGCCCAAGCCCAGCAGTCTCCCCTGGCAGGTGCTGGACTTTAAGAGACAGAAATACCTCTACAGAAAAGAAGATAAAAGGCAATGGTTGGAAATAAATGAGTATCCAGGTCACACTTAGGAAAGGGGTAGGTGGGTGGCTCAGCAGCCAGCTTGAAGGGCACTCATTTGCTGGAGTGAGTCAGGACACAGCCACTGTGATGTGACTCCTGCGGAGATCAGACACACACACCCAGCAGAGCTGGCTCTCAGATCCATGGCCTCATTGGTTCCCCAGGACTGTGTCCATTATTCTCCCATTGGAGAATAGTTGCCAAGAGTGTTGGTCGTGCAGGCTCTGCTAGTTGCTCGAATATGCAGGCATCCCTAACTGATGATGGTTCAGGTTAAGGTTTTTCGGCTTTCTGATATTGTAGAAGAAATACACATTCAGTGGAAACTTCCAGTTTTGAAGTTTGATCTTTTCTGGGCCCACAGTATACGATTCAGAACTCTCTGCTGAGGCTGGACAGAGCCACGAGCTGCAGCTCCAGGTCATTCCCTTGTCTCAGGACAATGAATGCCAGGCTGTCCTGTGTGGCGAGGCTGTGGTGCTATGGGTCAGGGCAGTGGTAGTGAACACATAGCATACATGCCACCAAGTGCTGTTGGTATCATTGAAAACTCTAAAAGGTTTGGGGCTAGGGTGTCCAAAGCATTTTCAGTGTACAATATTTTCAGCTTCTGATGGATGTTTTGGTACATAAGAGCATCATAAGTCAAGGAACATCTGTAAAAACAAGTACCACTGAGGCACCACCCTCCAGGGGGCTTAACATAGCAGAGATGGTACAGGCATGATATAGGTCAGGCAAGGTTCTAAGGTGGGAACCTCAGCCATGGGGGCAAGAGAAGCAAGGAAGACCCATAGCCCAAGACCTGTTCCTACCTTGAACCAGTGCTGACCATTGTGCTCAGAGCTTGAGGGCAGGAAGGTCCCACTCACCTCGAATCTGCAGTATCTGGATAGGAACAACCTGGGCCTTTCTCTCAGACCAGACCTCAGACCTTGTGACAGCTTGGAGCTTGAGAGCAGTATGGAAACTGAAGCACCCCAGAGCAAAGGCACCGTCAGGCAGAGACAGTGAGCGGCCAGCTGCTAAAGACAGGCTAGGACAGAGCAGGCAGGGCCCACATCAGCAAATCCATGTGCTTGGTGTCTTCAGACTGGACTTAGGCAGGTCATCAAAGGCTGACCCAGTGAACATGCTGGGTAGCAAAGATCCACATCCCGAGAGGCCCTTTCAGGGCTGCAGCAGAGGTGCTCCCACCTGTTGTGATCACCATCACACTGTAGGTGACCCGCACAATTCCTGGACATGGCAGCCAAGGGACAAGTACTTGTTGAGTGAAAGTTTGATACCATGATCCAGACTCCTCTTGTGGGGCCCTGCTGGTGTAAGAGGATGAGAGGAGGAGCAGCCTGTGCCGTTACATGATTTTCTTCTTTCACTAGGGAATCAGTCTGAGATAATTCCCCATAATATCTGTGGCCTAAGCCCTTTACTTCCTACCCAAAAGAGAGCAGAGTATAATCTTCATTAGAAAGCAGTGTGCACTCGTGTCCTCCAGCAAGTCACTCAGGGCTGTGTCCAAGAGCATGAAGGGTATCTGGAAACAGGTCCTGTCAGGGATCATCTGCCAAAGGGCCGGGCAGACTACATGCTTTCTTCCATGCCCCCGTGCATTGGAGTCTTGTGTGGAAAGCAAAGTTGTTGGGGTTTCTTGTTTATTCTGAACTTCTGCAAACCAGTTCCTCAATTTCGGAGCCAGTCATCAATGATGCTCCTCCCTATGGGGATCCTGAGCCTGTCTTTCTTCATCTTCTCTTGATTTAGGTAAACCCTGCCTAAAGCCAGTCCCATTTGGGAAAACTTGATTTACAAACCCAGAAAGAAGACTGTGGCTGTATTGGAGTGGGAGTGTTGTAGCCTAGTAACTGCTTCTTGTTCTGAGTCCAAGCCAAAAGGTTAAATAGAGTTGCTTGTGATGGTGACCTCAAGGTGTGGCAGGTCCCGAAGTGCACTTTGGCTTATCCAAGAAACACTGTCCTAGTGTGGAGGGAACAGATGGCCCAGTAAACTTCAGAAATGTATCATTGTTGAACATTCAGTGATACAAAATAGCCAACTTGCAGATTTTGATGACACAAGCTGTTTTATATAGTATACAAATAAAAAAATTCTTGCTGCTTATTACAAAGTACACCTGTGCTTGTTTTGGGCCCCCCCCCCTTAATACTATTTTTCTTTTTTTTTTTAAAGAAAAAAAAACAAAACAGTAAAAGGGTACAAGTAATACAGAATTTCAAAAAAATACAGTAAGAAATCACTAGTTAATAGATTACATATTGTCATCTTAGAAATAGTTGTTCAAGTTACAAAATTAAAGCATACAAAGTAGACATTCAAACAGTGAGACTGCAAACAGTTGTGTTCAGTGATCCAACAAAAGCTTAGTAATATGGTCATCTATCTTACACACCTAAACATACTTACAGTTGTGTCCTTTAGAGCACTTTCTTTTCCTCTCTTTTTTACAATAACATTTACACATTTTGGATTTTATTACTCCCACAGTTCTTATTACTTTTTTTGGGAAGAGAATAAAACCAAATGTGACAAAACAAAGCAGTCAGTCAAAACAAAGGATGGACATAGTACATGATGTAAAAACAGAATACAGGGTGATCAACAATGGTTACCATAATGCCTCTTGCTATCTTAAAAAGAATTGCCTATATCATCAGTTATAATAAAATTGAACAAAACAGTACAGAACAAAACCAATAAATCCTAAACATTGGAGATATTATAGAACTTCAAAAGAAGATAATAGTCAAACCAAAATGGGCATTATAGTGAATCTTATTGCCTTCAAAGTAGTTACCTATACCCTCAAACTTGATACTATCAAACAGAACAGAATAGAGTAAAATCAGTCAAAACAAGATGGTGAGAGCAATACAGGGCTTCAAATCGAGTTAACAGGAAATCAAAAAGTTGCTATAGTATAGTATATCCTGCTAATTTTTTTAAATTTTTTCCCTTAATTAAAAAAATAATAAAATAATTTTTTTTAAAAAGGGGGAAGATTGAGATAAAAGAGGATATAACAACGTAACAATACAGGTCAGAACAGAACAATTTAAGCAACATAGTGTTTGATAACCCGACTTAATAGTAGTTACCATAGTGTCTCTTTCCTTGAAATATTTGAGTATAACTTCATATACTATTGTATCAAACATATCAAGATAGTGTGAAACCATTCAAGAGGATGAAAGTATTACAAGGTATTTAGAACCAGCTAACAGAAAATGAACAATGGTTTTTATATTATCTCTGCTTATAAAAGTTTTGTTTATACTATCACATATAATAAAATCCAATAAGATACAACATGATAAAAGCAATGGAGACAGAAGAACAACAGTTTAATGGAACTTTAAAACAAGATGATATTAAATCAGCATTAGCTATTATGATGTCTTGTTTTCTTCAAAATAGCTGTTCATGTCATCACAGACAGTAATATCAAACAGCCCAGAATAAAACCATTCTAATTAATGAGTGAAAACTTTATAAAGCTTCAAAGCTATATAATGGGGAATCATGATTATTACATACTTTTATGTGTTTGTATCATTTTTTACACTAGGGAAACTATTTGGTATTCATACATGTGAGTTTGATTTATTTCACTTATAGTATGGTCTCAAGCTACGCCCATTTATTTATAAATATCTCAATGTGATCATTGTTTATAGCTGAGTAGTACTCTATTGTATAAAAATACCACAACTTTTTTATCCATTCCTCAGTTGATGAACTTAGGTTTCCAAGATCTGGCTATTACAAACTGTGCTGCTATAAACATGGGTGCACATATATCACTGTGGTGTGATATGTTTCAACTTTTGGGATATGCCTAGAAGTAGAATAGCTGGAACAAATGGGACTTCCAATCCCAGTTTTTTGAGAAATCTCCAGACTGACCTCCACAGTGGTTGCACCAGCCTGCACTCCCACCAACAGTGTAAGAGAGTTTCTTTTTCCCCACAGCCTCTCCAGCATTTATTGTTGGTGTTTTCTTGATCCTGGCCATTCTTTCAGGAGTGAGATCGAATCTCAGTGTGGTTTTAATTTGCATTTCTCTAATGAGTAATGATGATGAACATTTTTTCATGTATCTATTTGTCATTTGTATTTCTTCATCTGAGAAGTGTGTATTCATCTCAGATGCCCGTCTTTGGATTGGATCTTTGAATTTTGGGGGTCTGATTTTTTTTAATTCTTTATATGTTTTAGACAGAAGTCCTTTGTCTGAGGGAGAGTTCACTAAGATTTTTTTCCCAGTTTGTGCGTTTTCTTTTCACTATGCTGGAGATTTCTTTTGACATGCACAAACTTTTTAATAAGAGGTGATCCCAGTTATTGATTCTGGGAAGTATTTCCCGTGTGGTTTGAATCCTGTTCATGAATTCTCTACCTGCCCCTATGTCTTCAAGGTTTTTACCCTATTTGTCTTCCAATAGATTTAGTGTTTCTGTTTTAATATTGAGATCTTTGATCCATTTAGATTTTAATTTAGTATATGGTGATAGGCATGGGTCTAGTTTTAGTTTTCGGCATATGGAGAACCAGTTTTTTGATACTATTTTTCTTTCCATGTTGTTTATTCCAGTGCCACATTGGTCTCTAACGGAGTGGTACTTTCTGTGGCTTCCTTTCTATTTGAGAGTTGGATTCAAATTGCTCTTGTGACACTTCTTTCAAAGTATATCAAATGCTCTGTGTTAGGGGCCTGGAGACAAAGTAGTGATCAGATTAATGACAGTGGCAGCTGATGCTCAAGGCTGTGTTACAAAAGAACAGTCACCTAGACTCAGGAAGCCTGGAGCCTGAGTTTATAATATGAATGGCAGATATGAATGTAGTCCTAGAATCTGTCCTTGGGGTGGGCGCAGCTCACCCAAACCCTAACCTTAAACGTAATGATTTCAGCTTGGAGCCTCTGCCTCTACTTTTTCCAGAACATAGGCAGCTGTGTGCCTGCTTCCTAATTAAGATGCTTCCTCTTAGGTCAGTCCCTGGGTTTCTTACTAACAAATCTTTGGCTTGTGACAGCATCTACATTTGAGTCCCAATTTTTAGGCCTTAGATCATTTGAAAAGGGATTCAGTGTGGGGCTGAGAGTATGAACTTTAGCATAAAAGCCCCTGTGCATATCTTGCCCCTGGTGCTTCCTGCAGTGTGGCCTTGGACAAATTACTTGGCCCTTGAGCCCCAGCTTCTCCCTTCATATAAGGGCCATTGTATTAGTGCTCAGTATTGTGAGGACTTGAGAGTAATACATGGATTATCCAGTGAGCAACAAATATAATAGCTGCAGGAGTGGTCTGTTATCACTGACAATCACGTGCAGTTGTGTGTGCGAACAGCACAGGTGTTGGAAACACAGAGATGACCACAGTTCAACTAAGCTCAGCACTGTTACCAAGGAACTGCGAGTCCAAGTTCATTGTACACCAGTGGGCCATCCCTTAGCCCATCCATTGCTGAGCTGCTGTGGCAGACAGAAGTCAGATGGGGTATGCAGAATGTACTTCAAAGACATCCTCTGAGGTTGTCCTCTTTTTCTGTCATGCTTGTGTATGTTCGTGTGTGTGTGTGTGTGTGTGTTGGTTACCAGGCATGGATCTCAAGGCCTCAAGGCATCTGGGCAAGTGCTCTATTGCTAAGCTATACCTGCAGCCCCTTTAAAATTTTATTTGAGGCAGGATCTAAGCCACTCAGGCTGGCTTTGACTTGTAGTCCTTTTGCCTCACGCTCCCAAGCAGCTGGGATTGTGCAACTAGCTTGGAGCTGTAACAAAAGGGTCTCCTAGAAATTCTGATCTCAGCAAGTAGCCAGCCAGTATTAATGCACAAGTATGCAGAAATGCAGATAAAGATGAGCCTTTTTTGTAGTATTACTTACAAGTGAAACATGTAGGGGCTGGGCATGTAACTCAGTATAGAGTGCTTGCCTGAATATTCAGTGCCCTGGGTTGAATTCCTAGCACCACAAAAAAAGAAAAATTGAAAACAAAGTCCATCCATAGAGGAATGTTGGTACATCTGTACAAGGAATCTTCTGAAACCCTTAAAAAGCATAAAGTAGATCTTTGTAAGCTGAAATCAAAAGTGAAGTCTATTAAGTGAAAGATGGCATAATGTGTTATGTGTGTATGGCCCCATATTTATCTAAACACTATGCTAAGTATGTTTGATGGGGCTAGAGGGATTTGCACCACATGCAGATGATTCTTATGTTGGAGGGAAAGGGAATACTGGAGGAGTTGTTTTTGGTTTATGACACTATTGCATTTGAAAAAAATTAAAGATTTTATTTTTAAAGAAAGCAGAAAGTTGGGCTTGGTGACACACACCTATAATCCCAGCCCTCAGGAGGCTGAGGCAAGATCATTGTGAGTTCAAGACCAACATGTGCTACAAAGTGAGCTCAAACCCAGTCTGACCTGCGTAGTGAGACCCTGTCTCAAAAAGACAAAAAACAAAAACCAAGGAAAGAAAGCAAGCAAGTAGAGTCAGGATTATATGTAAAAAAGGCAGGGAACACCAGCTAGAAAAACTTACCCCTATGGGTGCTGACCTGGGGTCTGCATTCCAGCCCTGCCTTTCATGCAGCCACCAAGGAGGGACTATGGTCCTGCCAGACTCAGTTCTGCCACATTTGCCACTCTATATGGGGCCAGCACCCACAAATGTCTCTTGCCTCCAGGACAAGTTTGGGGTGACTATAGACATGCACAGGAAGCTGGGCCACCGGGGCTGAAGGGGTAGCAGAACTGTCCCCACACACTATCTATCTTCTTGAGTCATAGCAATTACAACTCAGTCCCTAGAGAGAACAAGAAAAGGAGTGAAATGAAAACCAAAACCAGGAGGAGCCAACTTGCTGTCTTCAACTTCCTGTTTTTGTGGGCCAGCTGCCAGAGCTCAGTGACAGCATTTTCAAGTGATTAAGAAAAAACATAGAAAAGATACACCACAAGCAGCAAAGTCCCTCCCATCCATTCTGCATCCCTCTCAGGAGATTCCCGTGCCAGCTTCTCACAGATCCCTCCACAGATTTCTCTGCAGGGTATTACTGTACACTCTTGTAATGAAAACAAGCTGTAACTAGAAAAAGCCCTCTTGGTTCAGGATGAGAACGCAGGAGCCTGTGGTCATGCTTGTGAGTGGAGGTTGACAAATTTGGGATAAGCTGTTTTCCACCCCACAAAATCTCACATGCTCCCTGAAAAAGAAATTGTGGAAAGAATTAGGAAAATACAAATATTGAAACATCCATAAGCCCAAGACCAAAAGAAAAACATTGCCACTTGTCAGTGCAGCGTGTCTGTGGTGCTCTGCGGGGGTCACACTTTAGACACAACTGTGTCCCACAGGCATGTCTTCATGTTGTTAAAGTTTATTGATGAACATTTTAGTGGATGTGCTGTGGTCTATTTATTATCTTTCCCCTGCAGTTAGACATTTTTGTTCCAGTTTCTTTCTATTATGGGAATACTCTAAGCCTCTTGGATTCTATTTCCCTTGCTCCATACGAGGTTGTAGTCCTGAGAGTTGTGTGCACAGACGTGGCCATGGTCTCGTAGTCCATGCTGTACTGTTTCAATGATGAGTAAAAGGGAGGAGATGATTAGGGGCCGGGATGGGGTAGCAGCAAGGAGGCCCGGTGCTGGTGGTACTCAGAAAAGGAGGCTAAACTATTGGCTTGACTTGGTCTATGAAAGACAAACAAGTGTTGAGAGGTCCACACAACGAATATGCCCCACCAGGAGCCTACCAAGTCAAGTCACTAAAAGAACATGGACCTGGGCCAAATTCTGGGTTCAACAAGCAATGTCAGATGAATTACAGACCACAGAGTTGGGACCAGGCCCATGTGGAGTGTGAGCCAGCAGACGTCTTTGTGCCCAAGGTTGTCTAAAGGGCAAGGGCTTTGGGATGAGCTCGGCACAGGCTGGGTGGGGGCAGTCAGGGCAGAGCTGGAAGTGGGTGAGATCTGCACTAATAGGACAGGTTGATGGCTCTTGTCTCACAGTGTTTCTGCCCCACTGGGGCTGCCCAGCATCACCAGGCACACAGAGGGAATCAGGAGGCGGTCATGAGTTTAATTACACCATTTTATTTGCCCTGCAGTTGAACCTGTGGAATTAGCAGCAAGACTTTCTGTGGGCATGTCCATCTTTTTAAAATAATTGATCAGTGAGATTTTAATGATTCATGAACGTTCACATTTCATATCCTCCTCGATGGGAAGTACCTGTGCAGAAATGGCTCTCCTGGGAAGCAGGAGTCAAACTGGCAGGGAGGCCAGTTGCAAGATGCCTCCAACTGGATTGCACCACAGTGCCTGAGTGGAGAGCCAGAGATGCCCCTTCTTTTCTTCTCTGTGCTCACTGCCTGCTCTGTCTCCCTGTGCCAGCAAAAGAATGAAGGCTCCCAGAGCCCTATAATGTGATGTCATGGTGCTAGGCTAGCCAGGGGTTCTGTCCCAGTGACAGTTTGCGTGCACCACCTGCCCCTAACTAGCAACTTCCCTCAAGAGCGTGTAGGAGCACACAATTTCTCTCTCTCTCTCTCTCTCTCTCTCTCTCTCTCTCTCTCTCTCTCTCTCTCTCTCTCTCCCCCCTCCCTCCCTCGCTCCCTTTCCTTCCTTCCTCCTCTCCCCCTCCCTCTCTTTCAACAGGGTTTCAGTATGCAGTTCAGGCTGGCATTGAATTCATAGTCATCCTCTTGCCTCAGCTTCGAGAGTGCTGGGATTACAGACATGAGCCACAACCCAGCAGGAATGCAGAATTTGACCCCTTGCTCTTCTGAGAACTTAGCCAGGGTGTGTGAGGACCAAGTGCATTTGCATTTCTGTGGTGCCTGAACTTCACCTTTGCCTTGGCAGGGATGTGACTTAGGTTTACCTTCAAACAGCTGCAAGCCTTTATTTCCACATAGACATGTTCTGGGCCTCGCCTTTTACTGTTCTCTCATCCAGGACACCTCCTCCTCTTTTTAAGCATCCCCACAATGTCTGCTATGTGTCTGTCTCTGTCCCTGCACTCCCGTATTGTGTGTACTTTTCTGACTGCTTATTTTTTCCCAGATGGACTAGAAGTTCCCCTAGGGCTGAGTCGTCTTCCTGAGCTCTCGCTAGGCCCCGCAGACCCTGAGCCTAGGGCCTCAGTGCTCTGGAACTCAGTCACCAGCTCCTGCCTGCTCAGAGCCTTCCTTGGAACCTGTGCGTGGGTGCTGAGCCTGTGGCAGGAACACGCTGATGGGACTCTCCATGTTTTGTTTGGTGTTGGCCTAGCATGTCTTTTTCCACCTTTTTATTATCAGTTACTCTGCATAATTTCATTTTATCGTAGGCAGCGTCTTGCTGTATAGTTTTAAATTATTTGATTATCTGTTTAACTTAGTCATATATATTCTGATTACTAATGCATTAGTATTTTGACTTATTTCTGCTACTTAGACTTATGCTTTCATTTCATATTTATTGTTCTATTCCCCTTTCTGGTCTTCAGTTAGAAGGACAATGTTTTTATTTTTCTTCTTTGCCTTTTGGGTTAAGAAGCACTGAATCATATTTCTGTTCTTAAGTACTTTTTGGTACCAGGAGTTGAACTCAGGACATTGTGCCTGCCAGGCAGGCACTGTGTTGCTGAGCTAAATCCCTGGCCCTGCTTATATACTCTTAACATACGTAATACCTAACTGTAAATTTTTTGTTTGAGACAAGGTTTTGCTGTGTCATTTAGGCTGGTATTGAACTAACTTTGTAACCCAGACTGGCCTTAAACTCATGGTAATCCTTATGCCTCAGCCTCCTGAGTGCTGGCATTGCAGGTATGTACCACTGTGCCATTCCACCCTTCCTTATTATTGTTGTCTAGATTTAAATGTATTCAAATAAATTAATTTTTATACATGACCATTGATTAAGTTGATGAAGATATCACATTAGTTCCCATGCCTATCACTGTTTCTTTTCTTTTTTTGTTTCTGGACAATGTCTCACTGTATAGTTCGGGGTGGCCTTGAACCCATTATGTGGTTCAAGCTGGCCTTGACCTCACATAGATCCAAGTTCTGGGATTAGAGGCACCTTCTTTCCAAAGCACATCCTTTGGTAAAGGCTTACATTATCTACAATTCTTGTTTTGTGTGTGTATCTTATGGTAGAGTTTTGTTTTGTTCAAAGGAAGTGTAATGATCTGTAAAAACTAGTCGGGTTAAAGATGGCACCACAGAAGCAGGTGCTGGCTAACTCAGCCTGCGGTGTTGAAGCTGGCGCAGCCCTTACTGGCAAGGCCCTTCGTTCTCAGTTCTTGTGCTTTCTGCAGACAAGGCTGAACTAGGACTGTCAGCAGTGGATGAGCGACCCAGAGTGTGGAAGGGGTACAGTGGTAGTCACACTGCTTGTAATGTTGCTTTGTTCTGAGAGGGAACCAAGAGCATCCTGATCTGGACCCTCCCCCATGTTCTATGCCTTTGTTGAGTAAAGCAGCCTCGTTTGTCCTGACTAACCTCTGTAGCACAGAAAACACTACCCTTGCAGAGCTGCACCAGAGAGCCCCATGCATAGACGTTGGTCGTGACCATGGTCACCATGTGCCTGACACTGAAAAGACGCAGTGAATGAGGAGAGCACAGGAAGATCTGGGCAGATGGAACAAGTGAGTCAGGGAAAGGTGGGAGACTTGCCCACAGCTGGCTGGAGAGGCTGGGCAGGGTTCAAAGAGGGGTCAGCCAGGGCTGAGCATTGATGGGGCTCCTGGCTGCCCGGCACATGCCTTGCTCTGCCTGGTCTGTGCCCTCAGTTCCCCTTGCTGTACAGCCCTTCATTTTTGATGGGCAGAAGCTTGCCTGGTGTGGTCTAATGGCCAGGCAAGCTAAAGGCTGAAAGAGGAAGCAGCAGCATGACACTGGTTTTCAACCAGTATTTGAAAAAGGAAGTTGAGTCATTCTGCTTCTGCTATTTATCCCTTCTGGATATTCAAAGAAGGATAAGTTTTTACTTCCAGATGAAGAAGGTTGGCTCCAAGCCATCTGGGCATTTTCAAGATGGCCCTGTAAGACAGAGATCTTCATTTCCCTTTGTGCAGAGACCCAAGGATCCAGGAGTAAACACTAAATGAGACTGCAGAAGAATGAATATTCATTTAGTGTCCTTTGTTGGCCAAGCCACCTGACAAGCATTTCGAATATTGTGCTATTCCTCCACCACCCTTGGCACAGCACTGGAGAAGCTTAGAGGAGCTGTGTAGCCTTGGGAGGTCAGTGCACAAGCCCCAGAGCCTCCCAGGGGAGGCTCTCTGCCCATTCTGTCATGATACCTTCACATCTGATATTCTGGGTTGGAGTCATTGGTCCTCAAATGATCTGAGCAAATCAGTTGCATTCCTTTATCTATAAGGAGCCTCAGAAGATTTATAAGTCCACTGGTTTCCACAATCTCCTTGGACACTGAGGATTGTGCAGAGTCCTTGGTTGGGGGAGGGACACTGGGCAGGTGGAACTAGGGCAGCTGTTTGTCATTGAGTTGTATACTGGCAGTTGCTCTAGCTTTTGTATGTTGAAGGATGCGTTATGATTTCACTTGACAAAAGTATTTTTTAAATGGCCAAGATTAGTACCCATAACTTCTGGTTTTCAGTCTGATATTTTCATTACACTGTACTTACTAAAAGAGGAAACTGAAATATGATACATTCTAGAAAGATCTGTATTTCAAACATTAATTTTGGGCCAAGTGTGGTGGTGCACCCCTGTAATCCCAGCACTCAGGAGGCTGAGGCAGGAGGATTTCCATGACTTCAAGGCCAGTTTGGGCTACAAAGTGAGTTTAAGGCTAGCCTGAACTGCGTAGCAAAACCTGTCATAAAAAAAGAAAAATCGGGCTGGGGATTTAGCTCAGTGACATAAGCGCCCTGCCTTCCAAGTGTGTGGTTGTGAGTTCGATCCCCGGTACCAATAAAAAAAGAAAAAGACAAAAAAAAATTTTAAAAAAAAGAAAAATTAATTTTGTACCTTCTATTGAAAGAAAAATTCATTTAGTTTATGCCTCATTACTGTCCCAGACCCCTGAAAGCAGAAATTTCACTATCCAAGATGTTGCTATGAAGCCTTAGCACTGTCTGGTCAGCCTTTCATGCTCTCCATCTACACTGTCCAGTAGGATAATAGGAGAACTGTTTATTTCAAATTTTATTTAAATTTAAATGTGAAAAGCCATGTGTTGCTGGCAGCTACCATTTTGGACAGTGGAGCCTTTGAGAGTAGAACAGAGATTAACTGGCAGTCCCTGGCTGCTTGGCATCAGACTTGTCCAGAGAACTTGTCAATAGCACAGTCTGGTGCCAGGGCACAGTGGTACATGCCTATAATCCCAGCTACTTGAGAGGCTAAAACAGGAGGATCACAATTTAGTGAAACTTAGTGGGCAACTTAGTGAACTCAAAGGCTAGCTCAAAAATAGGGGCTAGGGGCTAGCTCCTAGAAAGAACCCTTGCCTGACACATGCAAGGCCCTTGATTCAGCCACCAGCACTATTAGCCACCAGACTCTAGTCCTACTGACACTGATTCAGCAGGTTGAGGAAGAGCATATTTTGAGAACTCATGGTCATCTAACTACTCTAGTTGGCAGCTATAACATTAGAGAGCTCACTCTTCCAATGCAACAGAGGTGCTTGCCTGGCATTGACCTTCTAGGGCATCTAGAGCAGCCTCCTGGAGGGCAGCAGCCCCTCGAGAGCCCAAGCAATCCTGTATGCTCTTCCCTGGGAAAGCACAGATCACAGGTCCTTTTGGGGCTCTAGACCTCCCTCAAAGCCAGATGAAGAGCTCCTCTTGCACATATGGCCCAGAGCTGATCTGGTACTGCCCCAGTCACCATGCCCCAGGCTCCTGCCAGGATCATCAAGGCACCATGGGAGATCAGGCTATAAAGAATGGTGAATGAACTCCACTCTTTTTCCCTTCCCTGCTTTTGCAACATGTGATGTGGCTGTTGTGATTACTCACACCCTCATCTCCAGTGTGGTACAGAGAGCAGGGTGTGAGGGTGCTGGAGGTCACAGTGGGATGGGGAGAATGTCTAGGCTGTGTTACGGGGTGGAGTCTGCTTGCCAGAACTGGCTCCCACATAGGCCCCACTTCTCACATGCTGTAGGAGAAAGTAAGGGCACAGCCTTCTGATAAAGCCAGGGCTGTGAGGGCCACCTGGGGTTAATATGGGCCACAAGGAGTAGGGGATGGTAGGAACCAGGCCTGTGTGTGTTCATGGAGAGCTAACACTGGGCCAGGCGTCCAGGAACAGACGCCTGAACTTGGAGGCTGTTGTGCAGGGCTGAGTCATGATCATGTGGCACAGGAAAGCAGCCACAGCTCTGCTGCTCCCAGCCAGTGACTCGGTGCCCTGGGAGGTGAGGGTTAGCCTGTTCCCTGTGCCCTTCAGAGATCTAGCTGGCATCTGCTGGGTCAGCTTCTCCATAGCCTCCTGTGTCCCTGTGACAGGCTCTGGCTGAGTCATGAGAGATAGCCATGGCCATGGCCTCAGCTGTTCCACTGAGAACAGCCTGCTGCCAACCAGCCACTGAGACAACAGAGCAGCTCCTGGAGGAGCTCAGCTCAGTACGAGCTTCCAGGGCACAGGCTGCTGGAAGCAAATACACCAAGCCTGCACATCCAGGTGCCCCAGGAGCCTGGCCTTGCTGTCACCTCCGCTCCCTTTTCATCCTTGATCTCTGAAGGTCATAGAAAGGCACTCTTAATCATTTGCTTCCCTCCTGCAACCAGCGTTGACTGCCCTGTTTGTGCACGTGTCCTAGGGTGCCACAGTGGGTAGGGCTTCTCTGCCCTCAGGAGCCTCTGACTGAGGATTGTGAGCTTCCCAGGAGGCCTGGGGAGTGGGCACATAATGCTTCGAGCCTGGCCCCATTTTGTCCCTTGTGACCTTTGGAGAGTCTGTGCTTAATGAGGCCCCAGTTCTTCCCATGAAAATGAATGGATTTGAAATTTGCTCAGGAGGGCCAGGTTGGTTCCTAAGACACATTGCCCCTGGTAAAGAAGCTGAGAAAGGGAGGGTCTGCTGTCCGCCTTGGTAGGTTCTCTGGGGAAAGGGCTAGGAGTACAGGATGGGGAAAACCTATCACAAGAAAAACAGTCCACCAGGCATGGTGGCACATTCCTATAATCCCAGCATTTGAGAGGCTGAAGCAGGAGGATCACTGTGTGCATCCCTACTAGAAGCCAGGCTACTCTGGGTTGAGCTGGGAGGCCTTGAAGGCAGAGAGTAGACCAGTTGACACCTCAGCAGATCCCACTCCTCTGCTGATCATCTTTCTAGTCAACTTGGACAGAAATCTGAATGAAGCAGATTCTGCAGGAAAAGGCTTGGGCTGGATATTCCCCAAATTCCCAGTCTCACTTACCCGACAGGCGGGGGGGGGGGGGGGGGCAGTGGCTGCAGAGACCTGGCTTCAGATCCTTCCATCCTGAGAACAGAAGCCTCCTCCTGGGTTCGTGGCATTGCATCAGGAAAGAAGGCATGTGTTAGTAACACCTTTAAAACCAACCTGCCATCAGAAGCAGTTGTTAAAAACTTGCCTGTGTTTGGTGCCACCTAAAAGGATTTTTGTTTGTTTGTTTTGTTTTTTCCACCTAAATGTTTTATACTCCAGAGGGATCCTGCCTTTTTTTTTTTTTTTTTTTTTTTTTTTGTCTTTTTCATTTTTATCGGTACTGGGGATCGAACTCACGACTGCCTGCTTGCAAGGCAGGCGCTTATGCTGCTGAGCTAAATCCCCAGCCCCAGGGATCCTGCCCTTTATTTGTTAACTTTCATGTGTTAACACTTTCATCTGCTGCTGTTTTTCATGACAGTTCCCATCTACATGTGGGGACAGATTGTTGGCCACTCAGGGTCACTGTCTGTCAGTCTGAGAAGGCCCAGGGCTGGTCTAGAGACAACTCAGAGACACTTTTGTCTTTTGTTCTCAGGTGTCTAGAGGTACTGTTGGTATTAAGCCTTTCAGTGTAGGTGCCACTATAACACTGCCTGAAATAAAAACTATTACCAGCTAGGCATATGATGGTGCACAATATAAGCTAAGACTGGAGAATCAAAAGTTTGAGCCCAACCTGGGCAATTTTATAACTTAGCAAGATCCTGTCTCAGAAATATTTATTAAAAAGGGATGGGGGAGGGGCTGGGGATTTAGCTCAGCAGCATAAGCACCTGCCTTGAAAGCAGGCAGTCGTGAGTTCGATCCCTGGTACCGATAAAAACAAAAAAGCCAAAAAAAAAAAAAAAAAAGGGATGGGGGCAGTGTTAGCGCCATATGAAGACTCTTAACTTCAGTTCCCAGTGCCACAAAAGGATGGAAAGAAAAGGAAAAGAAAAGAGAAAAACATCTGTTTTTAGCAAATGAGTTTAGACATTAAAGGAAGAAGCGTGTTGGTTGTTTCTGGAGTATTACAAGCGGAAGCATCTTTAGGAAGGACCCAAGGAGGGAGTGCCATTTGCAGGCTGAGCGTTAGACTGCATTAGACACACACACAGTCGCACAATTGGTACAGTGTTATGATCAGTGACAGGTCTTATATATTTACTTACATGCAAGTGAGCCCGTAAGGGCATGTTGCCCTCTTGGTTAATGTAAGCACTTTCTGTAGTATTCACACAATGTTGAACTTGCCCGATAGTGTGTTTCTTGTGAAGTGATGTGTGATGTGGGGGGGACCTGCCTCCTGCTGGAGACAAACTAAACCTGAGCCTGTGCCTTGGCAAAAGACCTTTGTGAACAGTATAGATATATCCCCTGTGAAGACAGAGCTCATGTGTGGTTGATGAGGTGAGACTTCTGGAAGATGGGATTCACCACCTGTCCTGGTCTGCCAGGCAACAGCAAAAGCTTCAGCCATTGTCAAGGCAAGAAACAGCCAGCCCAGTGTTCACGTCCCCGTTTGGCCCATGCCTATGCGGAGTCTGTGTGTGCAGTGTGGTTGGCCCAGGACTCTACACAAGACGTGTGTGTCCATGGTGAGAGGCTGTTCCTGTATACTCTCTATACATGTGACAGAGAAGCCAAGACCCTCGGCCCCCATATCCCCTTCCAACCTGAGCCTGGCCTGTGGGCCTGTCACTGCTAGGCACAGGAGTGACCTGCTCTATGTCTGTTCCCAGGGAAGCGTGAGCCTAGGAGATGGCAGTGATGGAAGTGGCCTGTCCGGGCGGCCCTGCCTCACCGGTCGAGCAACAGAAAGAGCTCACCAAGACCAAGGAGAAGCCCCAGGTGCTGGGGAAGAAGCAGAGTTGTATGCAGCTGGAGGCCGTGGGCAAGAGCCCTGTGTTCTGTGGCAAATGGGGCATCCTGAACGACGTGATCACCAAAGGCACAGCCAAGGAAGGCTCTGACAGCGGGCCAGCTGCCATTTCCATTATCGCCCAGGCCGAGTGTAAGCACTGGGGCGCTGTGGGTCAGCCTTCAGTCTCTTAGCACAGAGGTCAGGACAACTCTATGAGAGTCTCATAAGACATAGAAAGCTGAGGCAGGAGGATCACAATTTTGAGCACAGACTGCACCCTAGCGAGACCTTGTTTCAGAATAAAAATTAAAAGGGCTGAGGATGTAACAATAGTAGAGAGCCCCTGAGTTTAATCTCCAGAACCACCAAACAAAAATTGAGAATTGAGGGTCTAAGCTCAGGACCAGTGTGCAATGGGTGCTGTAAAAGTACCAGGATGGACCATGGGAGGTGTGGCAGGCAGGCTTCTGTCCATGGTGACCTGAGAAGGGGAGACACTGTGAGGCAGCAGGGCAGGGGCTCCAAAAGTCACCAGGCAGGCCCTTCACCAGCCAACCAGTGGGCCACCCCAGAGCAGCAGCACCCTGTGTCCAAACTGCAGGACTAGTGGGGGTAACAGAGTTCCCAGGAGACGGAGAGGGCCAGATCCTCTCTCCAGCATACATGACTGGTGGAGATGCACCCACCGTCCACGCCGCCTCTGGTGGCTTCTGCAGAGAGCTGAGGGTTGGTACCCTCAGCAGGTACCTGAGTTTCCATGCTTGGGCCGCTGTCGCCCAAGCCGACACTGAGAAACGGCTTCGGGGCAGCCTGGCCCCTGAGACATCACAGGAAGTGAAGAGGGCACCCCAGCTTGTGGATGCCCTCTCTGCACACAGTAAGCTAGAGGAAGCACGCTCCTAGCAGAGAGGGCCAAGACTTTCACGCCTTTCTGTTGATCCATCTCCTTTGCCTTCAAGGTGAGAACAGCCAGGAGTTCAGCCCCACCTTTTCAGGACGAATCTTCATCGCAGGCTCCAAGCAGTACAGGTAAGCAAGTCAGGGTGGGAGGAGGATTCCACTCCTGATGGCTGCCAGCTTTCCCAGGCAGGGAAACTTTTTTGAAGCTCATAGCTCAAGGAGCTGCATACCAAGTTACTGTCATTCCTCCAAAGTTGTTGATGCAACCTAGTTTCCATCCAAATGGAGAGCACCAGGATTGGCAGTGCCTCTTGCTGATGTGCAGCCACTAGTATAGGCACAGAGGGCAAACTCTGGTGTTCTCTGCAAGAGGCACACAAGTGGGCAGAGGGCAGCCAACCAGCCTGTGCGTCTCCTACCCCAGAGATGACTTCTGTCAACAAAGAACTCAACCCAGAAACAGTCTTCTCTCTACCTTCTAGGCAGATTCTTAGAAATGCAAGCTGGACACCGTGGCTCAGACCTGTAGTCCTGATACTGACACTCTGACAGGCTGAGGCAGGAGGGTCAAAAGGTTGAGCCCAGCTTGGGCAACTTAGTGACTTAGCGAGACCTTGTCTCAAAATAAAACTAAAAAAGGACAGAAGTGCAGCTCAGTGCAAAGGCCATGGTTCAATTCCTGGTACCACAATAAAAGGGGAGAAAGGGATCTGGGGAGGCTTTGCCATGGAAAGAGGAAAGGCTTAGTACTTGGTCAAATTCTTAACATTGCCTCTGCAGCCAAAGAAGGGGTTTTTCGATGAGCCCATTCTGAGCTGAGCTGCTAAGAAGCCTGCAGGCCTCAGTGGCCCCAGGTTAGGGGAGGGGTGCCTCCTTTGTGGAGCAAAAGGGCAAGGCTGGGGACTGAGCTATGGTCTCCTTAGCTGCTTTGCTGCAGCCCTTCCAGGGTTCTCCTGTGGCCAGTTCCTCAGTCTCTGGCCAGAGAGAGGCAGATACCCTGGCATGGGCAGACTGTCCACGATAGCTCTGCATTCCTGCAACAGTCGAGAGCTCCAGGACCCCACGGGGAAGAAAATGCAGAAATAGACTCATTCTTGTCCATGAGAGCCAAGGACAGCCGCCGTCCAGGGCAGCCCCTGGGGAACAGCTGCCCCAGGAACACTGAGCCCCAGCCCCTACCCACAGGGACAGGCACTGAGCCAGGGGCTCTCCTCTGCCTGGGAGAAATACTGCACTCATTTTGTAAATGAAAAAGCTGGTGCCCTTGGGATGTACAAACTGTGCAGGCCCACATGAGTATACTCATGTGCCACATAGTAACATCTTGGTCAGCAGTATGCCGTGTATACAACAGTGGTCCCATGAGACATATTCCCTAGTGACACTGCACTGTTCCTGCTCAAGTATGAGTGCTCTGCCAGTCACACAACAGGACACCTAGCATTGGCTTCCTCGGGATGAACAACTGCTGTTCAGTGATGCACACCTGTAGTAACAAAGCTGGGTTGGTATCCCGTCTGCTTCCCCTCAGACATAGTGATCTAAGCCTCTGTCTTCCTGCCTGCTGGGCTCATGAGGTGGACCTGTCCCCCTTTTGACAGCCATTCAGAGAGTCTTGATCAAATCCCCAACAATGTGGCCCATGCAACCGAAGGCAAGATGGCCCCTGTCTGTCGGAAGGGAAAACATCACAGCAAAGCCCGAAAGAAACGGAGGAAGAAGAGCGTGAAGTCCCTGGTGCAGGCTGGAGTGGCCTTGACCAAGCCCCTGCCCAGAACCCCCGAACAGGAGAGCTGCACAGTCCCAGTGCAGGTGAGACCCACAGCCCTGGCCAGGCTACTGCTTGTGGACCGGTGTGTCCTAACACCATGTTTCCCCACAGGAGGATGAGTGCCCACTAGGCACCCTGTATATCAGAAACGTTCCCCAGTTCACCAAGCCTCTGAAGGAACCAAGCCTCGGCCACCTCTGCCTTAGGAAACTCGATGAAGGCCTGCAGCCAGTGCTGCCACGACCAGAACTCCACAAACTGATCAGCCCCTTGCAATGTCTAAACCACGTGTGGAAGCAGCATCATCCCTGGGACGTGGGTCCCCTACCTCGTCTCACCCACCCCTTCCCCTACAGCAAACTGCCACATCCCTTCCCCTTCCACCCACTCCAGCCCTGGAAACCACATCCCTTGGACTCTTTTGTCCTGAGCAAACTGGCCTGTAGAGATGGCCAGCAGCCCCTGCCCAGCCCAGCCCTCTGCAGACCAGTATGTGTGGACAGTCAGAAACCACTGCCCGGCCCACCCGGCGAACCCAGCTGCCCAGCCCCTGCCCAGGAGAAGTGTTCTGTAGAGGAGTACCTGGTGCACGCCCTGTGTGGCAGTGTGAGCTCAGGCCAGGCCCACAGCCTGGCCACCCTGGCCAAGACCTGGTCAGCAGAGCGCTTCAGGCCCCAGAGGCCCAGCCCCAAAACCGAAGACAATGAGGGGGTGCTGCTTACTGAGGTAAGAAATCTCTTAGGCTCCCACCCTTCAGCACTAACATCTAGGCCAGGAGCCACAGTGGGGCAAAAAATGTGTCCCTCCAAGCCAACAGGCCTTGGGATGGCTCTCTCCCTGTCAGCCATGCCTCTGACAACAATCCACCAAGGGTCCATCAGGACTGTTAGTCAGCTTCCATCACTGTGGCAAGATACCTGAACATGTAAGGAGGGAAGGTTTCCCTAGCTCAAATAGTCATCAGTCCCAGCCCCTGGTCCTTGGCCCTGATGCCTGGGGCCTGTGGTGGCACCACACAATTATGGTGGGAGTTCCTGGTGGAGGAGACCGACACCTCCCAGTGGGAAAGAAACAGGAAAAGGCTGTCCCATGCCCTTTCTCCTCCATACCACAGCCCTGGGACCCACCTTCCTCCCACTCAGTGCACCTCAGAAAGGTCCACCACCCCCAGCAGCTCCACAAGCTTCAGCCAGACCCCTCAGCATACAGGCCCTGGGGACATCCAAGACGCAGCCACCAAGGGGATGGTACCATTGTGTCCCTTCCTGCAGCCTCACCACAACCTTCCTAGCTGCCCCCATCCTTACTTCCTCCACCAGTTAGTCGACCCACTGTAGCTGAGTTATGTGTGCTGCAGGAATAACATCCATTCTGGGAAACAGGAAGCTTCTTGGGCTGAGGGAAGATGACAATTTTGCCATCTTGCTACATTTTCCCTCCAGTTCTTGCCCTAGATAAGGTTTTATTCAGCTTTACTTGTATGTGGTTCAGACTGGCCTTAAACTCACTGTGTGGCCCAGGCTAGCCTCCCTCACAATAACCCTCCTGCCTCAGCCTCCTGAGTGCTGGGATTACAGGTGTGCAGCCTGTGCTGTTGTCCATTCCCTTCTAATTGCTTTCCTGTAACACTGTCCTCTTTATCATTCCTGTATTCTGACTTCTGGTAGCTCCTAAGGTCTTTATCCATCATGAAAGTTGGCAATTCCATTTCCATCCCAATCAAAAACCCAAGGGGCTTTTTTGTCACCAAGTGCAGCCTGCAGGCCCTGTGCACTCTCCAGCACACCACACAGAGCCCTGCCTCAGCCTGGCGGTCCTGAAAGGGCCACCAGCTGCTGACCTGGCCTTCCTCACTGTGGCCCCCAGACCCAGGCTTGCCTGGCCACTGACACTGCCTCTCTCTGCCACCCAGAAACTCAAGCCAGTGGATTACGAGTACCTGGAAGAGGTGCACTGGGCCACACACCAGCCCCGCCTGGGCAGAGGCTCCTTTGGAGAGGTCCACAGGATGAGGGACAAGCAGACAGGTTTCCAGTGTGCCGTCAAAAAGGTGGGCTGGGAGGCACCGGACTGGGAGGTGGTGGCTTTCTTTGAGGAATAGTCCTGGGGTGTTGGGGATATAACTAAGTGGCATAAGCCTGCTTGGCAAGCACAAGGTCCTGAGTTCGATTCCCGGTTAAAAACAAAATAGCCCTGCCAGCATGGTGGTGCATGCCTGTAATCCCAGCAATCAAGAGGCAGAGGCAAGAGGATTGTTGCAAGTTTGAGACCAGCCTGGGCTACAAATTGAGGTCAAGGCCAGCCTAAACTGGGTAACAAGATCCAGTCTCAAAAAAAAAAAAAAAGAAGAAGAAGAAGAAGAAAAATGAAAAATGAATGGCCCTGGAGTGGCGGTGACTCTGAGTTGGCTGGAGTGCAGGGGAGTGTGTAGTCCCATGCTAGCGTTCCCCTAAGTGTGTGTATGTATGCACCCAGCTTCCGGGTCTGCCCTGCAAAACCCACTCTGCCGTCACCCTCAGGCTACTCAGTGTGGCACCCTGCACCTGGACCCACATTAGTTAGAGGACGGATGCCAGGAGCTGAGAAATGCTGAGTTCAAACTCTGCCTCCAGGTGATACAAAGAAAAGCAGCTAAGGCTTCAGACCCAGGCTCATCTGTCCAACCTATGTATGGCCTTGTGCCACTCTTGTGGCAGAGGAGGAAGAAGGAAGGACACCTGGTCCTGGGTCGTGGCAGTGGCAGAGCCTCCCCTCTCCTTCCTCTCCTTGATGATTTGCCCAGAGCCAGGGGTCCACAGTTGCTGCAGGTCTGAAAATGCGAGTGTCAGCCCTGCTGCTGCAGCACCTCCTCCCCCAACCCAGCTCCATGGTTAGAAGCCACCTTGTCCCCAGCATGCTTGGCACTCCAGGAGCATTTTCATGCGTGGTAGTCTTGGCCCACAGACATAGTGAGTAAGCTCAGAGACCTTGTTTCAGATGCCTCATGTCAAAGACACCGATCCTCAAAAGGAATCAGAGATCAACTTGCCAGTTTGTGCAGGCCCAGCATGCCGGCTCAGGGTGAAGAAGCCTGTGTATGGCCGCACTCTTGGGCTTCTCAAGGTTGACCCTCAGGGTGGTAGGATGACGGGGTGGCCTGTGTGTTACCCAGACTTCACACAGACTGCATCAAACGACAGTGTCACCTTCTCAGTGGTCAAAGACCCATCAAGTTCTTGCCAGTGTGGATCATCCTCTTCCCCAAGCCTGGCCCCGTCAGCTGTGGTTCCCCTCCCAACCATAGGCAAAGGCTCATCTGTCCCTCCTGGAAGGGGTGTGAATGTGCAGGGACCTGGCGTCGGGTTCCAATGCCAGAGCTTAGTCATTGGCTCTCAGCTATGCCTCTGCTGTCTTAGGCAGTGAGGTAAACAACCCCAATGCAATGGGCAGGACACACTCCATTCCCATCCCCATGCCTAGCCGGAAGGTCCGCACAGGTACGGACTTCCCAGCACCAGCTGTCCATGCACACAGCTCCACGTCATTCCTCTAGGAGCATCGGCAGAACAGAGAATTCTATCAGCTTTTCAGCTGGAAGACCCCAAGAGAAAGACTTCCGTGGTGGAGCACTTGCCAAGCTCCTGTGAGACCTAGAAGCAGCAGCCAGGCTCCCCCTGTGCCAGAGCAGGCATGAGCCCCTCCAGTATGGAGCCACAGAGGTCAGATGACACTGGGTGCTGATGCCCACACTCCTCAGTCTTCATTCCAGACAACCCTTGGCCTGGGTCACTTGCTGACTGCCAGCAGGACCAGAGTTGAAGGCAGATGGGTCTTTTGGGTTTTTTTAAGGCTTTCTCTGATCTTAACTCAAAATTGCAAGTAAATATAAGCTCAAATCAAATAATACTCAAGAAAAACAAGTCTCTCCTCTCTCCAATCCCATTCTCAGAGATAAATGGCATTTGACTTAAATCTTTCTAGACTTTTTAGATGAAAGATACGATTCTTATAAAAAATGAGACTCTAGAGATCATTCTGTACCATGATTTTTTATATGATGTATATCATAGACAGAGTTCCTTAACAGTTCAAACACAACCCTTGAGCTAACAGCCAGCATGGAGGTCCTCATTCCTGTCCCTGGGGAAATTCATAGAGCCCCTGGGTTCTGGAACCTGATTATGTGCATGGCAAGTATAGGCACACACCACTTAGAGTCTCAGAGGGACCCGTGGTCAGAAGAGGGTTGAGAACTGCTTGTTTGGGCCAAGGATATAGCTCAGTGGCACAAGTGCCTGCCTGGCAAGTGTGAGGTCATAAATCCCTGGTTCAAAAAAAATAAAATCTTTAGAAAACCTACTCATGTTAGGGTGTTTGACACAAGCATGGGGCCCTGGGTCCCAGGATACTGTGGTGTTGGCCAAGTCAAACCATCAGTCACACAGCACCTGCTCTGTGTAGGTCTAAGAATACAGGTGGATCCCACAGTCCTGAGCTGAAGGAACTGGAGTTGTAACAGAGCTGGACTTACTCAGCTCGAAGGGGGAGTTGTGTAAACATATCAGCCCTGAACATGTTTAGGGTGAAAATGGAACAAGGGCTAGGGAACACCAATCATGGACCTAAGAGGACCATCTAGGCTGGTGTTAGTCACTTTCCTGAAATGTATGTTCCTGAACTCTTCAACTGATACAATTACTTATATCACTTTTTTTGCCAATAGAATATAGCCTATAACAATCCAAAAGAAAACAAGAAGGAATTCAAAGAGAGAGTGGTCCCAACTCACACGTGCAGGCAGATAGAATTGGGGAGGTGGCTTGTGGATCTGCCAATGGACCAAGTACTGTCCACACATGCACCAGGGATATTCCTGCATGTGTGTACACACACCCACAAGCAGTGGCTAAGCCTGAAAGTCCTGAAGGCACAGTAGTGGGCAGTTCTAGAATCCAGCATCTCCAGCCCAAAACCCGGTAAGACACTGCATTCTTAGTGACGTTGGGCAAATTAACGTCCAGCCTTCACTTTCTTGTCTAAGAAGATAGTGATGAAACTACCCCCATAGGCTGTCAGGCTGAGGCTTAGAAATATTCGAACAGTGCCTGGCCTGTGGTAGTGGGCCTTAAATACCAGTTCCCATCAGCACACTTATCCCGGTCCAGACCCAGCTCCAGGCCAGAGACCCTGCAGGCCAGGTCTGCCATCCCCCTGACTCCTCAGGACCCTACTCCTGCTTCCCTGGGCTCACTGTTTGAGGTTTCCCGGGCTGTTCTGTCCTCATCAGTCTAGGTGCTGGGACTGTCTTAGTGCTGCTGAGACACAGATCTCTGTGATGTTAAAACAGTCTCCTGTACTGTCTTGGTTTCCAGCCTTTAGCGTCTGAATTTTTCATGGCACCTCAGATCAAACCAAGTCTCTAGCAGTTCCATTTATTTAAACAGACCAAGCAATATCTTTATTCTGAAATTTATCACCTATTTGAAAATCAAGATATGTAAGTTAAAAGAAAAATTTTCCTTCCATTCTTAAACAGCCAAAGTGCTGACAGCTACAGGTACAGCTTCTCAAGCCTTGAAATCAGACCAAACCATGCCACCTTTACTTGCTGTTCCATATTGCCCCAAAGTACCATCACAGCTTCCTGAAGATGTGCCATCTAGTTAGCACAACGTGACTGGTGCTGGAACTAAACACTGTCGAGCAGGTGGTTGATACTGTCTGCAGCAGAGGTCAAGCTGGTTTCTTTCCCATGCAGAATTATCCTGCAGGACACTAGGGTGCTTCACGTTAAAGACAATGGCAGTGCAGATGCTGTTGGTGAATTAGTCCCATCAGTTCAGTGCCTTTGAGAATTGGAAGCAGATTAAAGTCAAAGTTCATATTAGTTGGTTAAATAAACCAGATATTCTCTAAATAACCAAAGAGAGACATTTTCCACTAATATGCAAAAGTCCAAAAGCTTCTCATCAGAGCTCCAGTTTCCTAGTCAGCAAGTCTCCAAACTGACTGCCAGGTCCTGACACATCTCTTGCAGTTGGCTCTGTTGTGCCCACTGGTGGCCAGCAGGATGCCAGCTGTGTTACCCTGGAGCAGATGCTACTGTCTCCACCGTTTACATGTGGCAATGTATTGGAAGCAACATACATAACCTTATTTTAAAGGCTAAGCTAGGATCTAAACCCAAGATGCCTGTATCCAACGCCTGCTTCCCCCACCACTCATTGCTGCTGGCCCTTGTGAAAAGCAACAGATGTCCCTAGCCTGCCAGTCCATGGCACAGACAACCCAGGCAAAACCTCCCCAGATGCTGGGGAAACAGCTACAGAAGGAGTAAATATAAACTCAGACCTGTCTGGACATTTTTGTCCTCTGGGAAAGAATTAATTTTAAGAATTAAGAGTACTGAAGGAATGCTGAGGAGCAGAAGCACCTGGCAGATGGGGAGACTCTACTTCTGAGGAGATATGGGTGTTGAGCTGCACAGTACACCCTCAGATGGAGAAGGAGGTCCTGTACTGGGCACCTGAGGGCAGCAGTATGCCAGGAGGCTGTGAAGATTATGGCTTGTATGACTGCGTCTCAAGTATAAGCATTGCCCCTGAGGCCAGCAGCCCTGGGCTCCATGCAGCCTGAGCATTATCCCCAGACATTCCAGGTCTGCATATGGAGCTCTGAGGTCCTAATAGTATGGTCGGCACCCAGCTGACCTCTTACCCTGGCTTAAGCCACTTCTGGGCTCTTTCAGGTACGGGTCGAGGTATTTCGGGCAGAAGAGCTAATGGCATGTGCAGGACTAAGCTCACCCCAAATCGTCCCTCTGTATGGTGCAGTGAGGGAAGGTCCTTGGATCAACATCTTCATGGAGCTGCTAGAAGGTAAGGTGTCAGTGACACTCATTCTCCCTCACAGTTTTGCTGAGACTGACTTGCTTTCCTCCACCTGCCCTCAGCTTGCATGGCAGCTGGGAAGGCCCCACGTGCAGTCTGCCTGTCTTTCCTAGGTGGCTCCCTGGGTCAGCTCATAAAGCAGAAGGGCTGTCTGCCAGAGGACCGGGCCCTCTTCTACCTGGGCCAGGCATTAGAGGGGCTGGAGTACCTGCATGCACGAAGGGTTCTTCATGGAGACGTCAAAGGTAAGGCTCTGGTCCCTGTGGCTCCTCTTTGCATCTTCCTACCCAATCAGTGTCCTGGTCGCAAGTCCTAATCAGGCTGCTGTGCCTTCGGGAAGGGAATGGCATGCTCCAGCTCTGCCTAGACTGTGGTTTGAGCACTGGGCACAGTGGGGTGGCAGAGCACAGTGGTGGTATATGTTGCTCCTGCACCCACCCCCCACCCCACTTTTGTGACTGATAAAACACTGAAAGCAGCAGCTGTCTTGTAGGATCAGCCAGAAAATTGGCTCACTGGAGGCCACACTGAGCCAAATTGGGCTGGGGCCTATGTGACTCACCTGTCCCCTTCCTCCCATGTCGGGTGCCCTTCTGCAGCTGACAACGTGCTCCTGTCCACTGATGGGAACCGTGCGGCCCTCTGTGACTTTGGCCATGCTGTGTGCCTGCAACCCAGTGGCCTGGGGAAGTCCTTGCTCACAGGTAAAGCCCAGCTGCCGTCCAGAAGACAGCAGTGTCTCTCACTGGGCATCAGCCATGCCTTCTGTGCCTTCACTGTGGAGCTGGTGGTTTATGCACCTGACACCTGCAGATTCCAGCTGACAGCTGCCCAAGTCAGCAACAGGCCCTCACTGGGCATAAATGCAGTCATCAGCACCCCATTGCATTCTGCTTCCTGAAGCGCAGGCACTATAGTAGTAAAGGCCTTTTTAACTTCCATTATTCTAAATATTTAAACAATCTCTGCCCATTGAGTAATAGAGTACAAAGTGATATAAAAGTAAAAAAAAGGGGGCTGGGGATTTAGCTCAGCGGCGTAAGCACCTGCCTTGGAAGCAGGCGGTCGTGAGTTCGATCCCTGGTACCGATAAAAATGAAAAAGACCAAAAAAAAAAAAAAAAAGTAAAAAAAAAAGAATTCTCACATTTCTCTTGCCCAGCAAGTTAATCATGACTAATTTATGTGATTCCATAGCTTTTTCTGTGCTTAGTTTAGCCCATTATAACACAGCTTCATACTGTTTTTTTTTATGTATAGCATTAAGCATAAAATGGTCCCATTTTGACCACAGGAAAAGCAATCTTTTAGAAATACAGATTGAGCATCCCTAACAGGAAAATCCAAAATACATAAATTTTTGAGCACTGGCATGATCCCATGAGTAAAAATTCCATACCTCAGTTCAAGAGAGGCTACAGGCAGAGCTCAGGCACACTGAAAATACTGTAAAAATCACCGTGTGCTGTGTATAATAAAGTGCATAAATAAATGTCCTGTGCATGGCATACCCAGGATATATCGTTATATACCTGGGAGTATTCCACATGGAAGGAGTTGGAGCCGAGAGAAATTCTGGTCCTCAGCACTGAGGCAAGGGAATGTGCAGGGTCTGAGGTGCAGTGTGTGGTTGAGGGGTTGTGTTACCAACCAACCTAGATGCCCAACTCCCACCTTACTTTAGTGAGTTTTTTAGGGTTTTAGTACAAAAATAAGTTTTACTCTTTTGAAGAAAGTAGGGCTGACCAAAAACTGAAAACAAATCATTAGGAAAACTACATTGTTATCATCTGCTGTTACTCCTAGTCTTTTATGCATAAAGGTTTTTGCTACTAGTGTGGTTTTTTTTTTTTTTCCACACAACTAACATTCCCAAAATATCACAGCAATAATTAGTCTTCCTCAACCTAATTGTCAATATCCAGCCCATCCCACTTAGGGCCCAGCATGTGTTGTAGATGAAGTGTGCTCTGCTCCTGTTCCCGAGTGCTTGGCTGAGTGAGCCCTGTGGGCTCAACTAGGAGATTTCCTTTCTTGATCTGATGTGATGTGCGTCCTCTGTGACCAGTCCAGGGACCATAGGAGCCAAGAGAATGGCCTCCCAGGCTCTTGGCTGCAGCTCACAGTGCTGTTTCCACCTCACCCTGGTCTCAGGTGACTCCATCCCTGGCACAGAGACCCACATGGCCCCCGAGGTAGTGCTGGGGAAGCCCTGTGACACCAAGGTGGACATCTGGAGCAGCTGCTGCATGATGCTGCACATGCTCAATGGCTGCCATCCCTGGACCCAATATTTCCGAGGGCCGCTCTGCCTCAAGGTCAGTGCCAGTTCCCAGGACCACAGGATTGCAGTGTCAGTGGGTCTTGAGAGGGCTTGAGCCAGGGGAAGTCTGGTCATAAATGCGAGATACTGATTAAAATGCCCACCACCCAAATCTTTCATGCCTGTGACCTGGCCTACCTCCTGTCCCCCCGACCAGGTATAGAACATGGGTGTCCTGCTGCCTGGCTCCTTGTTCCCCTTTCAACGATGAGCCAAGCCCTGGCTATCACCAGACCCCTTCAACCCTTGTAGTGCTGGGGAAGCCCCACCAGTCTAGTGTCAGAGCAGAAGGCCTGGTGCTGAGCAGGAGACAAGGCCCAAACGCTGTCTTTCGGCCCCCAGATCGCCCGTGAGCCTCCGCCTATAAGGGAGATCCCAGCCTCCTGTGCCCCTCTCACAGCCCAGGCCATTCGAGAGGGGCTGATGAAGGAGCCTGCCCACCGCGCATCAGCTGGAGAACTTCTGGGGAAGGTATGCAGGGCGCTGCAGCAAGGTGAGCACCAGGCAGACTACTCTTCCAGGGGCAGGGCAGGAGGAGGGCTCCCCATCTGGGATTTAGGGTAGCTAGAAGTTGGAGGTACTAGGACTATGCTGGCAGGGGGCACAGTGAGGGAGGCACAAACCCATTAAGGATCAGCATGCAGAATGAAGCCAGGCGCCACCAGAAACTTAAAGAAAAAACCAGAATCTTGGTGCAGCAAGTACAGGTGAGGGTGGGAGCTGTCAGACCCCTGGGCACTGTGGAAGAGAGAGTGCCAGGCTGCAGACCTGGGGGCCCAACCCTGCCACTCCCAGTGCACTGCAGAGGATCCCGGCTCCAAAGGGAGCATCACATGGCCATGCAGCCCTGCTGCCAGGGATTAAGCTGCAATTAGGTCTTTCCCCACAGGAGTGTAGAGGGAAATGGTAGGGGTGGGACACCACCAGCACCTAAAGCTGCTCGGTGTTTGTAGAGCAGCAGAGACTCAGCTGAAGCCACGGGGCTGAGGGAAAGGAGGAACCAACAGGAGGAGACCCAGAACACAATGTGCTGCTTTAAATTAAAAGCCAATCAATGAAGATACACTGTACAAATGTAGTCAATCAAAACTGATGTGTGGAACACAACAGAAGGTACCCTGAGAGAGGACAAGCAGTGGTCATAGGAGTGAAAGGGGAAGAGAGAGCTGGCAGGAAGCAGACGCAGCAGTGCTTGTGGGGGTGGAGACAGCACTGCAGAAACCTGGAACTGCCAGCAGGGGTGAGAGGCACTATGTACAGACTCTCAGGGCTTCCTTTCTGCAGTGCTGGGATCCAGCCCTTTGCACATGTGAGGCACACTGCTGCCCCCAGCTGCACTACAGCCCCAAGCCATCTTCAGTCCCTCCAACAGTATCCCCTGGATTTGGTTCTGTAGGTTTGAATTTGCCCCAGACAGTAAGACAGGAGACCACCACGCTGCGTTGCACAGGGCCTGTGTTCTGTGCCCCTGTAGCCATCTCCACATACTCTCTTACAGTGGGAGGTCTGAGGAGCCCCTGGAGGGGAGAATACAAGGAGCCAAGATACCCGCTACAAGACCAGCCCACCTGCCCCCAGACCTCACCTGCACAGCAGCAGAAGTGCTCACCCCCATACGACACAGGCCCGGCCCCAACGGTTCAACCTCGACTGCCACCAGAGCCCCCAGAGCAGAGCGAGTCTCCCACTCTAAACTTGAGCCAGGAGGACCCTGGCCCCTGGGAACCCTTGCCTCTGTCCTCCCTGGATCTGGCCCCAGCTAGGAGCTCTGGCCCGCCAGAGCGGAGAGCAACCCTCCCTGAGCTGGAGCTGCAGCAACTGGAGCTAGGTAGGGTGGCCAGAAGGGTCCCGCCCAAGCATCCACTGGCCTGCATTGGCCAATCCCCCCTCAGCCCTGCCTACAGGTCAGCTCCCACTGGGTCCACCACGTGGCGATCTCCTACCAGCCTCTTAACTTACTCTTCCTCTTGCTGCAGAATTATTTCTGAACAGCCTGTCCCACCCTTTCTCTCTGGAGGAACAGGAGCAGATTCTCTCGTGTCTCAGCATTGACAGCCTCTCCCTGTCAGAGAGCAGTGAGGTGAGTCCCCGAGGAGAGCTGGGCACCTTGGTTCTGGCCCTTGGCACAGGTTGAAAGATGGACCATGGGCAGGGTTCTTGCCAGGGGGACTGTGGTTCCTTAGAATGGGACCACGCACTTGGAAGAAGAAGGGACTCAGCTGCTGGCATATCGGGGAGCTGCTCTGGCCCCTGTGGAAACAGGCTTTTCCCTCCACAGCCCAGGTGCACCTGTCCCTTCCCCCAGAAGGACACAAGCACAGCAACAGTCCCTGAGCCTGAGCCTGCTCTGTTTCAGAACCCATCAAAGGCCTCTCAGAGCTCGAGGGACACCCTGAGCTCTGGTGTACACTCATGGGGCAGCCAGGCAGAGGCTCGGAGTTCCAGCTGCAACGCAGTGCTGGCCTGGGGGCGGCCTGCCGACACCCCTAGCTACTTCAACGGTACAGCCCAGCAGCCTATGGCTGCCATGGGGTCACGGAGGGTTTGTGTCTCCCTGGAGGGGGAGGGGAGGGAGGATACCTGGGGCCCAGAGGGTGAGAACTCTGTCCAGGGAGATGGTGGGGCAGCAAAGGACCACTGATTGTCTCCTCACTGGCTGCCAGTGGTGTCCCAGGGGTCCCCGTGCTAGGAAGAAGAGCAGCTCTCCTGGCCCAAAGTTAACGTCTTCTAAGGAGGAAAGAAAGGAACAGGACCCCTATCCCCCTGAGTGTTGTAAACCAGAAGTTGGCAACACGCTGTTGGCTGCCTCTGCAGGTGGAGATCAGAGATGGGAAGACAGCTGTTTCCAAGCTGAATGCTTGGTGCTGCGCTGTGGCTTTGGTAGACAAGGGCTTCATGGGCTCACAGTTAGTTCCCAGCCTCCTTGGGCCAGTATGGTTCATGCCGGCAGCCCTTGGGCCAGGCCAAAGCCACTCGTTCGGAGAGCGATATCAAGAGTCTCTGCATTCGTTTCTTTTCTGCTGCACTGGGCTAGAATTCCATATCCCAGCAGCTGCCCCAGCTAGCAGCAGACAGTGCAGATCCTCAGGCTGCAGCCAGGAAGCCACATGTGGGTGAGGTTGAGCCACTCTAGCCTGGCTTTCACTTCACCACTTCCTCACAGCCAGCCTGCTCCTCTGTAAGGAAACTCCCCACCCAGGATCCTCCTCCTAGGCATGACAGCTGCTCTCCTGTCGCCTTGCCCGCCTCTAGGTGTGAAAGTCCAAATACAGTCTCTCAATGGCGAGCACTTGCACATCCGAGAGTTCCACCGGGCAAAAGTAGGAGACATCGCAACTGGCATCAGCAGCCAGGTGAGGCAGGTGCTTTCAGAACCCCGGAAATGCCACCCCGGGGAGCAGACAGCCTCCACTGCCCACTGTGGCCCAGTGCAAGACCAGCAAGACTGGGGTGGGGTGGTCTTCAGGTCCTCCTGGGAGGAAGACAGTCTAGGGCTGCCCATTGGCTGGAGGTAGGCGCCCCCTGGTGTGACAGGACCAGGCTGCTAGGCCATCTCAATCCTTGGTTTGCTCCACCCCCAGATCCCAGCCACAGCCTTCAGTTTGGTGACCAAAGATGGGCAACCTGTTCGCTATGACATGGAGGTACCAGACTCAGGCATTGACCTGCAGTGCACCCTGGCCCCTGACTGCAGCTTTACCTGGAACTGGCGGGTGAAGCATGGCCAGCTGGAGAACAGGCCGTAGTCCCGACTGCCACTGCCACTTCACTAATAAAGCAGCAGCCTCCTTGGTGCCCAGCGCTGCCCTGAGAGAGGCTTAGCCTGTTTGGGGTCTGCTGTCCCCTGAGAGCAAGTGAAATGCTTCTCATCTGAGCCCTCAAGCCCAGCCTTCCATGTGAAGAGATAGAGGCAGGAGGATTCCTGTCTGGGAACAAGATAGAGGGCCAGGCAGAAGTGCAGGGGCTCACACCCAAGTCACACTGGACCAGGGCGGCAGTGTCCCCAGCCTTGGATTCCTGGGAGCCTCAACCCCTGGCCTGGCTGTGCTGACCATCGCCCCCTTTGGAATGCAGGAGAAAGGAAAGGATGCAGCCTGGGAAGGTCCCTTCACAGAACCACCACCTTCAGGATCTGCCACAGCGCAGGTCCTCAGTCAACCTTCAGTTTAGCCAGGGACCAGAGAAGGTGGCAGGGGAAGTAGTTTTCAGTCCCCAAGCTCAGCATGTGTCCTTTACTGCTGGCCACCACTGCTCCCCAGAGTGCTTGGCTCCTTGCACTCAGTTCCCTCATCTATAAGTGCAGGGTGGCAAGAGTGGTTTACAGCTGGGCGCAGTGGATGCTACAGAGAGCAGCAGGGACAGACACTCCTCACCACCAGTGTCCCTCACACCACAGTGCCTTTCCCCAGCGTGGAGGGCCGCTGCCTGCCACACTTTGCACTCTGATGACTCCAAAGCACTTTTCTGGCTGCCCACCAGCACAGTGGTGACTCCGTGAGGGTGGAGAAGGCCATAGTCACCAGTGTGCACATGTGACTGCCAGGCTTCACCACTCTTTAGACCACGCCCTCGCTTCTGCTCTGGAAGATACTCAGCACTCATGTAGCATTAAATCAACCGTGAATTAGAGATGCTCGTCCCACACCAAGCCAAGGTGGCCTATGTCCAGCTGTCTCCATGGGGCTGGCCTGCTCTGGGAGTGCCCACCTGACTGAGAGGGGCAGCAGCCTTGGCTCTGCAGTGTGTGAGTTGCAGAGCAGAGAACTATGAGGAATAAAACTGTGTTGATGAAAGTCTGCAACCCAGGCCTTTTCTCTGGCCCGCCGGAGCCTGTGGTGGGTCTTAAGGTCCCCACCGTGGGACAGGGGCAGCCATTCCCAGGAGGACTGCAAGGCCTATAGACATGGCTAAAACGGGGTGCAGGCAGTGACCAGCTGACCGCTGAGTGACTGGGCAGGGTCCAGGCGACCTTTAGCGGGTGGCAGGGCAGTGCGCCTCTTCTCCACAAGTGTGCACGCCCCACACCCAGCAGCAGGTTCCTGGGCAGCAGGCCCTGGCCCTGTGCCTAGAGCACGCACAAATACCCCTAGCGATGGCAGGATCGCAGCTGGACGTCACAGACGCAGCAACCTCACAAACACCAGGGCCTCCAGCTTCACCAGCACCCCTCTCCGCAAGCCAAAGAGCACACTGGAGGCTAAGGGGCAGCAGCCACCAACCCGTGCCCTGACGACGCAGCTCGGCCCTCATGGGGCGCACAGGTGGAGGTGCGTGGGTGGGGCGGCGCAGATTCCGCAGGGTGGGTTGGGGGGGAGGCGGCTCTGCCTGGGCCCCTCCCTGTGTCGACCCCCTGTAGTGTCACCGGCACAAGTGCGCACCACACGCGTGCTCGTCCCCAGTTAGATTGAGCGCGTTCTTGGGTCCCCTGCGCAAAAACAGTGTCTTGTGACCCGGAAGCAACTAGAGAATTATCCCAGACTGCGTCTTATCTCGGGAAGTCGCAACTAGCTGTGCTTACTGGTGCGTGGAGCTTTGCGCAGGGAGCGTACTCATCTCTGTGCCTCGTGTTTTGCGAGTGGGTTTGGGCCTCTGCCGGCATCCCCCCTTCCCAGAAGGATGCAGATCACCACTGAAATGGGATTTTCTTGGAACCATCTCTCCCAGAAGGATGTGAGCCAGCATTAAATATGTAACAGGCAGCAACTGCCAGAGAGCTTTGCACCTCTGCCCAGGGTTCACAGGTGTCTTAAACCATTTCCATAGCCTTGAGCGCACACCCTGAGGCCAACTTGTGTGGGATAAGCCAAGTCCAAACAAAGGTTGGAGAGCTGGGTTTGTCAGAAGAGGAGGCATGGGTTTTCAGGCGAGTAGGTTATTGCTTTTTCAACTATAAGAGATAAAGACACCGAGGCACAGAAGAGTGTGAGCTCAAGCAGGGGAGCAGGATGCTATTAGCTCAGTGGCACACATGCCTGCTTGGCAAGTGCAAGGTCATGAGTTCAATCCCTGGTACCGACAGAGAGAGAGAGCAGGCAGAAGTTGAATGTGCCAGCACCCCTGAGGCCACCAGCATGGAGTAAGCTTGAATAGAGGCAGCAGGAGTGCTGTGACAGGCTCTTCACCCTAAAGGGTTTGGCCGCTGCCCTCTGGCCAAAGGCATGAGCCTTTCAGACAGCACAGCCACTAGCTTCAGGGCTTGAAACCAGCCAGGCCTGCCCTAAGCGGCAGCACCTGCTTCCTCTCAGAAGTCAGCCTCCTCATGCCCCAGAAGGAGGGAGGCCTGGATTCCGGTGGGCACTGGTGCTGGGAGACAGAGAAACAGGCAAGTGGCAAAGGGCTGCATCCAAGGTCAGCATCGGAGCTGGGAAGTTCAGAGGCTGCAAAGTCAAGGCTGCACAGACCCAGTTTCAGTGAGAACGGAGGCTGAGCTGGGAGAGGGTGCTTGAGATGTCCAGGGAGACCCATCTGACCTGTGGAGCTACGTTCCCCTGCTGGAGTCTCAATGCACAGGGTATAAACTTGAGTGAGAAATGTGAAGCCAACGTGATGCCATACACCCAGCACTCCGAGGGTAAAGCAGGACCACAAGTTCAAGCCTCGTCTGAGCAACTTAGTAAGAACCTGTCTCGAAATTTAAAAATAATAAGGAAATGGAGGATGAATCCCAGCATTTGGTGGAATAAGGATAGGAATTTTGTTTCTCTACAAAGGCATTTACTGAGCATCCCTTAGGCCAGATGCCCTGCTAGAGAAAGAAATGTGAAATGAGCCCCTTACGTGTTCCCCCAAGGGTTAGGATAAGGGTGCAGTGGGAGGTCTGGGGGCTGGCCTTGGGGCCACCCCACAAGTGGCCCCTCACCCAACACGATGAGTGGTTCCGGAGAGCTCTGGGGACCTGTGGGAGCATGGCCTCTGGAGGAGCAACACCTAGCCTAGGAAGCTCCGCATTTGGAGCACAGCCCATTCTTGTTGCCTCAAGAATGTGCAGGTAGCAGCTGGAGTGGGGTCTGGAGCTAAGCAAGAGCGAGAGGAGACAGGCTAGAAAGCAACATGGGGCGGGGGCTGCGCTGTCATCCCACAGCAGTGCCTTGCTTGGTGCGGAGGCTCTGCACTTCTTCCTGCCTTCTCCAGGAGCCCGCATGCAGCCCCACTGCACCTCACAGCAACAGGCCGTGCCCCTGGAACGGGCACTCTGCCTCAGTGCCTCTCACTGCATGGAGACCCAGAAGCAGAGAGAGAAAGAAGGATCCAGGATCAGAATATACCCCTCCAAGTTACGTCCTCGGTACTGGGCATGGTGGCATGCTGCACCAGGAGGCTGAGGCAATAGGACCACTATGAGTTCAAGGCCAGCCTGACTGCATAGTGAGAGCCTGTCTCAAAAACAAAAAACAAATCATGTCCTCAGTGCCCCACCCTTTTGGTCAAGCCTGGCTCTGGATATGAGACTTTTGGGAGACATTGTATCTAAACCATAACAAGCTGGCTCTTTATGATCAATAAAACTAGAAAATCCCTAACCAAAAATAAAGAGGAAAAAATTCATCAGGAACAAAAGGAATAATATCCCTACAGATTTTACAAATATGAAATGGATAATAAGGGAATGCTGTGAACATTTTATGTGAATAAATTTTACAGTTTATATAAAACGAATCAATTCCTTAAAAGGTACAAATTTGAAAACCTCACTCAAAAACAGAGCAATTCTTGCTGGGCATGGTGGCACACACCTGTAATCACAGCACACAGGAGGCTGAAGCAGGAAGATTGCTGTGAGTTTAAGGCCAGCCTTTGCGATATAATGAGTTTGAGGCCAGCCTGAACTATCTAGTGAGACCATCTCAAAAAATAAAAAAGAATGAAGCAGTCCTGGAGATGGATGGTGACAGCTGTGCAGCCACGTGAATGGACTCTCTGCCCCGAGAGCACACTTCCAGTGGTTAAAATGGGAGAGTCCACACAAGGACGTGGGCTCAATGCCACACTTAAAGAAATGAATAAAAGGAGAAAAACATTAAGAACTGTCAACTGGGGCTGAGGATTTAGCTCAGTGGCATAAGTGCCTGCCTTGCAAGCAGGCAGTCGTGAGTTCGATCCCTGGTACAATAAAAAGGAAAAAGACAAAAAAAATTAGACTGTACATTAACGTACTATAGTATATATACAACATGTTAACAAAATAATTTTTTTAAAACATGATTGTCTAAATAAATGCAAAAAAAAAGATACTGGACAAAATCCAACATCTCTGGCTACAGCCCAAGGAAACCAGGAAAGAATTTCCTCAGCCTGATAACAGGTATCTATGAAGGTGGGGGGGATGCAGTTAACACCGTGCTCAGTGGTAAAATACTTGCCCCGAAAGCAAGAATGGTTACCATTGTACAGAAGAGGCTCCCAGTACAGTAAAGCAAGAGGAGGAGAAGAGAGAAAGGAAAGGAGAAAAGAGTCCAGACTGGGAAGTTTGTGCAGAAGTTGCTATGTGGTGTAAATTCTTGTGAAAGTTACCAGGGCCAGGCACAGTGATACAGACCTGTAATCAATCAGGAGATTGAGGCAGCAGAATCACAAGTTTGAGGCCAGCCTAAGAAACTAAACAAGATGCTCTCAAAAAAAAGGTAAAGAGGGCCAGGAATTTAGCTCAGCCGGCATAAGTGCCGCCTGGCTAGTGTGAAGTTGTGAGTTTGATCCCCAGTACCAAAAAAAAAAAAGTACATACTAGGAATATAACTCCTGAATATAACATCTGAATTTTGATCCTCCTCCCCCCCCAAAAAGGCTACCAGAACTAACATTTTAGCATGGTTGTGGCATACAAGATTAATATACTTCTGCATAGGCACAACTGGATTGTTTCGTATTTAGACCCACATTAGACCACTCCTAAGTGCGGTACAATCAGGTCCCAAGCAAAGTCAACCTCAGATTATTCTTTCAACCCTGAGAGCTATGACGAGTCTCGCCATACTCGAGAGGCTGGCTGTTGGGGCCAAGGCTCTGCACCTTGAGTTCAGGGCACTTCAGCAGTACTGGGCTGTGCTCTGTGGCCTCCATCAGCTGGAGAGAGGGCTGTCAAGTGGCCCTGGAGCATGGTGGTGGTGGGTGCCAGGAGTTAGAGAAGGCCCAGAGGGCATGTGGGCAGGTGGCTGTGGGAGCCTGGACAGGTGCCAGCTAAGGGCTAGTGGAGGACAGCTGCTTAGGGAGAGAAGGAGAAGCTGGGCCTACTGAAGCCCCAAGCCCTCACCTCCTTCTCCCACCAGGTGGCGGCGTGTTCCCCTGCTGTGGCAAGGAAGCAGTGGAGATCCTGGAGCCCCAGTGAGAACAAATCCCTCACCATAGGGCCCCCCCCCCCCCCCCGCCTGCAGGACCTGGCAGCCTGCACCCCATACCTAGAGCCTCCTCCATTTTGCCCATTTCCAACTCTCCCCAGGCTCGGGTGCTCTGCTTCACCCCTCCCGTCTCTACCTCTGCTCCTGACATGAGAAGGAGGGTGGGATAGAGGGACAGCAGAAGCCTGGGAGAACCACTGTCTGAAGTGGGGTGGTGCACACCCAGGCAGGAGTGGAGTCACCATGCCTGGGCATTGAGGCCAGGGAAGAGGGCACCTCCACCTGCACGTCCCTGCCAGCTCTCTGGATCTCTCTAGCCAGCAGTGGCACCTGGGTGTGGGGAGCATTGCCACTTCCCAGACAGCAGTCCCTATGCCAGCTCCCCCAGTGCTGGACAAAAACAGAGGCCCCAGGCCTTACCTTTGCCCCTGAACCCAGCTCAGCAGGTGGGGCAGAGCTGCCCAACTCCACTGCAGGGTCCTGAGCTCTGTGAGGCTCAAAATCAGGGGCTGGGATGCAGCACAGTGGTCAGCACTAGCCCAGCAAGGGAGTCTCAGGTTTCATGAAGGGAATGAAAAAGGAGCCCTCCACTAGAGCCCCTGGGGCAGTGGGGAACCAGGCCATCTTTACAGCCCTGCATGGGACCCCCTGCTCTGAAGCTACTGCCCCATGGAGCCCCACATCCACCCTGAATCTTCTGCCTCATGATCGACTTTGCCCACAGTGACTTCCACCCCCAGGGGGCACAAGAGGAAAGCAAGACGAAGGTGAGTTTTTGGATCACCTACCCTGGGGCAGTGACAGGTAAGGGGCCTTTGGAGTCCATGTTTCCCATTCCAGGAACCCTAGGACCAGGCCAGTGTGGAACCCTGCTCAAACCACCTCCTGGAGATGGCTCCTAAAGAGGCTCAAGGGGTGGGAAGGGCATGGATACCACGGGGCCTAGGCAGGGGTGCGCACTTGACACCCACAGCATTTAAGCTGAAACCTTTCAGCAGGAGACAGAATTGCTAGCTGAGGAACCAGATCTAGACTCAGTGCCTGAGCTGGAGAGCCTGGAGAGGGAGCCATCGCCACATTCAGGTCCCGTCCCAGCACCTGAGTCTGAGCTGGAGAGCCTGGAGAGGCAGTCATTGCCACATCCAGCTCCTATCCCAGCACCTGAGCCCAAGCTCATCGAGGATCAAGGCTGGAAGGTGACCACCGTGGTGCTGTGCCATGAAAGTTCCAGACAGCCGGTGGCCCCCAGGCACCAGCATGTCAGGGAGGAGGCCCCAGTGACCCCCAGGAGCTGTTACACCCAGACCCCCAAGCACCTATTCTGGGCTGACAAGCTTGTCCAGACGTCAGAGCACAGTCTGCCGACAGCAGCAAACAAGCAGAACAACCAAGACAGCACCAAGAGCACCAGACACCTCAGGCCGGTGTCAGAGAAGCAGCCCAAGGCCCCCAGCACCTGCCCAACCCTCACAGCCACAAACCCCTCGACACCGCCTGGCCCCCCACCGCCACCAGGTCCCCCCACACTGCCAGGACCCTTGCTGCAAGCCATTGAGCTCATAGAAGTGGTTCACTTTGGGACGGCCCTGGCCGTGGCCTCCTCCAGTACCATGGACCTTCCCAGCCTGGGACACAAGATCAGTGCTGCATCCCAGGAGGCTGTGGAACCTTCACCCATGCCCGTCCAGCCTACCTTTGACAAGGAAGAGCTGCTGGAGAAGCTGCCAAAAGCAAGGGGTCAGGAAGACAAGAATCAGCCCTGCTCTTACCAGGACTTCAGCAACCAAGAGCTCAGTTGTGCCACCATCAAAGGAGAAGTGACATTGCTCCAGACAGGGGCCATGTCACCCCAGCTGCAGAGAGCCAACCAAGAGTGAGTGCAGCAGCCTCAGGCCCAGTCGCTGTGGGTGGGGGTGACGGAGGGGCCAGGTGGGATATAGGATGCCCCCAGCCTGGACCTCACAGAGCCTGTGCAAAGGGAACAGGGGTGCAGGCCCAAGGCACAGGCAGTCACAGAGGCCTGGGGCCAGGAGGGTGCATTCTGTAGGGCCAGGGCAGGGACCTGGCAGGGGCTGGGGGAGGTGGAGGCCGGAAGGGAAAGCAGAAAACCCTCTGCTTCGCCAGTGTCTGCTCTGCTGAGCTGGGCCAGGACACCTCCGGGAGAGGAGGGAGCAGGACTCTCGGTGCCCCATGACAGACATAAGATGGGACTCTTCCCAGGACCTCTCCCCAACCCTCAGGGAGCTCTGGCAGTACTGTCTCTTTGTGTTGCAGCTCGGTGCCAGGAACCAAGAAAGAGAATCCACTATTGCTGAAAATCCATTTTAAGATGTCATCCTCCCCCACCCCAGGGAAATGACTACAGGAAACAGTAAAGCCTCAAGTGCTGGCCCGGCTCTGGCCCTCTGTGCAGATGCTCCTGGGCGGTGAGCTAGGCTGGCTGCCATGACAGCCTGTTCCTAGGACAACGCCCCGTTCTCAGCTGCCCAGCCCACCCTTTCCTGGCCATGTGTCTCACCCTGTTCATTTCCCTGTGCAGTCACTTCACTGCCATCTAGCCAGATCTCTGGACACCTGCAGAGACACAGGGCGCACCTGGGGAGGCCACAGAGCCTCTCTGAGCCTTTGTTTCTTAGGCCCAAAGCCAGGGACACACTAGGATCACATGCATCTGAAGGGAGTCCTTCCTGTTCCTCTGTGGAAAAGACCCAACCGGGGAGGGCGTGAAGGAGGGAAAGCAGAGGTCTAGTGACAGGTCTTCTAAGGGGGCACAGCCTTGAACAGAGAGATACCCAAAATGCAGGGGAAAAGCCCAGGTGTGGTGGCTCACACCTGTCATTCCAGCTATCTGGGAGGCTGAGGCAGAAAGACTGCACGTTCAAAGTCAGCCTGGGCAACTTAGTGAGACCTTGTCTCAAAATGAATAAAAAGGGCTGGGGCTCTCACTCAGTGCAAGGTCCTGGGTTCAGTCTCTGCAACCAGAAAGAGCCCGTGTATAACGGTGCATGCCCTCCTGGAACCACACACATGCACACCATCAGCCTTTGTACAGACGGTCTATACACACACACAGGAAGCACACTACTCATACACCAGGGCACTTGCATGCCCACCAGAGTCTCACACACAAACACACAAATGCACAGGTCACCCATAGCACCCAGAGGAAAGGCCACGTGAGGTATCCAGCTCCAGAGGGCCTGGGGTGTAGAGGGTGCAGAGCAACAGGGAGAAGAGTGGGCCGCAAGGCCCTGGTGGGCTTTTGACCGACACCCAGCTTCATGCATTTCAGGAGCCTGGGAAGGGCACAAGCGGTGCCAGGGCCAGGAAGTGGGGCTTAGAAGAAGCTTCAGGTAGAGGGCAGAGAGCAGGAGGCTGGAGGGGCACCAGAAGGAGAGACATAGTGTCCTGGGACGGCTGGCCCAAGAGGTAGTGAGCCCTCTGGACTGTCTGGATTCAATGATGTTGTTTTAATAAATTTTATGTTTTAGGGCAGTGTTAGGTACGAAGCAAAACAGAACTGAAAGTGTGGAGTTCCCCAAAACTCCCAGTCCTGCCTATACGCCATCCTGCTCGGCTCCTGCCCTAGAGGCACAGTGTCCACGGGCTCTGAAAAGTGATACTGGGACAGGGATCTGTCACTACAGTGTCACACAGGATGCCTCTGCCACCCTAGCAATCCTGCCTTCCCCCAACCCCTCTGCGCTGGTTTTGCCTTTTCCAGTTGGCTTCTTTCACTTAAGAGCGTTCAGTTTAGTTTCCCGGCCCTGTCTTGTTGGGGCAGCTCATTGCTTCTCAGCCACTACCCCAGATGTACCATGGTTCATTTATCTGGTCACCTACTAAAGTTATCCAATGTTTGGGCCTCTTACAGTTGATACATTGCATCAATCTGAGAAGTGTAGAAGTTTAAGCCACTCAGCAGAGAGGCAGGGCCCTTACTTTGTAAACATTCTCATTCTGTGCAAGAGGGAGTGAGATGGTGTGAGTGCTACGCTTGCTCTGGGCCAATAGCCTGCTTACAATATAAGGAAGGAAAAGAGGCTTGTTCTACCTGCCCCCGCCCTTTTGCTCTTGTTTTTGCTGACTTCTGCACCTTGAAGGGTTGCCCTTGTGCCACACCACCCTGCCTTAGAACCAGCTGATTACAGGACTGAAACCTCCACGAACTGTGAGATAAATAAATCTTTTCTTCCTTAATATTTATTTATTTATTTATTTAGTCTTTTTCCTTTTTATCAGTAACGGGGATTGAACTCACAACTGCCTGCTTGCAAGGCAGGCGCTTATGCCGCTGAGCTAAATCCCCAGCCCCTCTTAATTTTAGGTACCAGGTATTTTGTCTCAGCAAAGAGAGAAAAGTAACCAAGACAGGGTGACTGAAACTAAAGGTGCTATAAAGACCTGGGTGCGGGTTTGTGTGTGTATTCATGTCTTTCATCATCTGGGTAAATACCGAGAAGTGCAGTTGCGGTACCAGAGCAAACGGTGAGCAAAGGGGTGTGGAGTGTGGATAAATGGACAGGATAGTGAAGAGGAACGAAGAGGGAAAGAATGAATTCCCAGTCTCATCACATGCAGGCAGAAGGGATCACCAGTCCCCAAAGACCACATCCCAGCACTGTCAGAGCCTGCTGAGTGGTCACTTTCTACATGACCAGCAGCTCTCAAGACCTGCTACCACGAGGCAGGGGCTCAGAGTAGCTGCCATCTATGACTCGAGAGCAGCCACTGCTGCCCTTGGGACTGGGTCCTGGCGTCTGGTCGGGGATTGCATCAGGCAGGATCCCAGGTCCCATACATGGCTCAAGTTGCTGCCGCCCCACTGCTCTCAGCCTCCAGGTCCACAAACCATGGACACATGCAGCAAGAAGTGCTTTGTACAGCATAGGCTTCCAGCTGGTCCACCAGGGGTGGTGGTGTTCATACACGGCAGACTGGGTGGCAGGTCCCATCCCGCCCTCTGTATCTTCCCCCACCTCCAGGCACTGTCCTGGTGCCCACAAGAACCACGGCGCTTTTTGGTTTTTGTCTGCCATGCTGGATGGAACCCAGGACCTCTCAAGAGGCAAGGGCTCCCCACTGCACTACACCCCCAACCCTTTCTATTTTTTAAGAGGGTCTAAATTGTCCAAGCTGGCCTGGAACTTGCAATCCTCCTGCCTCAGACTTCCCAGTAGCTGGGATGACAACTGTCCTTTTTAAAACCTTCCCTTTCAGGAAACCAGCACTGATTGACACCCCCCAAAGCCCCTAAACACTGCCACTGAGTGATCCTCCCTGAGTTAGGCCAGAGCAGGCCTCACCCACCGCCCCAGCAGCCAAAGAGTCTGCAATGCCAGGTGGCCTGAGATGTGTGCAGGACAGCCTTCCTTCAGGGGCAGGCACCCAGAGCACCCTCACTTCCTACTCCTACTCCTCCCAGGCGACAGAGTCCTCCATGTTAGATGCTTCCAGGGTGTTCTTGCTGTGTGACCATCAGGGCTGGTGCAGGAGGGGTGTCCACAGTGTGTGTGACTCAGTCTACAGACCACTCTTCATGATGCTGTCCAGGCTGCTGCTAGGACATGTCCTCCACATCATGGGGGGAGACTGTCCTCAGCTCCCAGAAAGGGTTGGGGCACCCCATTCCGCACCAGGATGCTAACTCCCTGTAAAGAGAGCCCTGCATTCTACGTCACTCTCTTGGGCCCAAGCCAAACACAAAAGGGTTCCTGTCCTGTGTAGATCCAGGAGAGGAGGAGAAGCCACCCTGTGTAGTCCCAGTGCTCCCTTCCTCCTCTAAGCTGTCACCCTGGAGCTGGCCATGGAGGGCAGGAGGCAGAGTTGGCCCAGCCTCTGCTTGCTCTCTGGGCTCCGCCCCCTCCCTACCCAAGCGCTGAGGACAACGCCATGCAGATGGTGTGGAGGTAGCACCACAGATGGGCAGCACCAGTGGGCAGGCAGACAGCAGGAGCAAAACCAAGGCAATGGGACAGAGCCATGCAGAGAGAAGCAGCCAGGGAGCTGAGCAGGAATGGGCTGAGATGATCCACACACAGGGACAGATAGAGGAGGGGCAGCCAGGGACTAACACAGGTCTTCTGCAAACATCTTTATTACTCTCATATAAAAATAAGGCTCAGGGAGAGTCCTGGGGCAGAGGCCTGGAATGGCAAGGTGGCTCTCAAGTCACAAGCCAGGCTCCCACCGAGTACAGCTGTTTTAGGGACCAGGTGCTTGGAGCAATGTTCGGGGTCATAGTCATCCTCGAGTCCCAGGCCCCCAGCATGCACCTGCCACCAGGTGGCTACAAGGCCATGTCGGTGGTAACTTGAAGGGAGGGTCCCAGGGGACGCCGACGGGCGCTGCGTCGACCCATGTCTGCGCGGATGTAGGGCTGGTTCCGTAGATCTGGAGCAGGGAAGATGGGCTCAGGAGATGCCAGGCCAGTGTCACCCACAAGGACCAGGCTGCATGCACACAGGAGACCACTGTAATGTTGGCCAACCTTGTATGTCCTGCACACGCTGCACACTGGCCAGAACAGGCACAGATTCTGCTCCTAGGCCAGCTGGTACCTGGGCTACAGGGGTAGCTCCTCCCCCAGGCTGGCCTCACAGAGGAGCCGGGATGTCCGCTTGCCCGTGCGGGCCGTGAAGGGCACTGTCTTGAGCACTGAGACATGACACACAGACAGAAAAAAGGACACAAAAACAGGCAGAAGCAGGAGACAGTGAGACAAGCAGAGCCCTGAAGAAGGCAGTACAGCACAGCACTGGAGGCCGGCGCAGCTCCACAGTCCCACCTGTGATGATGTCCTCGATGGCACCATCACGGTCACTCTCATAGATAAGTGGCTCCTTCTGCTGCTTCCGCTTTAGCTCTGAGATGAGATCCATCTGCTGGCGCCGTGCCCTGGGTGAAGACTTGGAGGCGGGCTGCAGGATCAGCACCCCACACATCCACCCTTCACCTGATACTCCTGCCCCAACTCCTCCACAACAGTGAAGGTGCTGCACATCCTGTGCCCCGGATCCAGTGGGACAGGTGCCTACCTTGGGTACAGAGGGCTCCCCCTGGCCCGAGGGGTCCATGCCCGCCTCCTGGGCAGCTGCTGCTTTCTTCCACTGCTCCACCTCCTGCTCTGCGCCCTGAAGGCAAGGCCATCAGGTGAGGTTAGCGCCCTGTGCCCTCTTCCCCCCAGGTCCTCCACCCATGCTGTCCCCCAGGGCTGGCTGAGTGCCTCACCATCCTCAGACCCATACGCACCTTGTAGGCTTTGACGAATCTGCTGAAGAGGGAGAAGAACACAGAGGGCGACATAGTCTTGGGGTTTTCTCCGAAGTACTCCACCACAGAGTCATAGGCCTCCTGGAAGCATAGCCGTCAGCCACCAGCAAGGGCCTGCTGGGTGCTGGTCAACCCCCAGGAAAGTGGCTCCAAACTGCTGCTGCACCCCGAGGTGCGGCTGCACCCCTGCCTCTGCGCCCAGGCTCCCACCTGGGCCGTCTTGCTGTCAGCCAGTAGCTTATCCATGGTGGGCGAGTTGGTCCTCAGGAACTCCTTGAGTACCACACAGTCGTCTTGCCGCACGAACTCCCGCTGCACCAGCTCCAGGCCTCGCTGCAGGCTGCGCACATCGGCCAGAACACTGTCCAGAGACACTGGGCAAACAGCATGGAGTCGGAGGCAACTCTTTCCAATGACATGCTAGGTGCCATTTCTCCCAAGCTACAACACCAAAAGGCCCCAGGACCAATCCTCCACCCACCAAAGACCCAATTCCTGTTACCTGAGCCCGCCTTGTCCAGGAAGTGCAGGTCACTGTGGAAGCCAGATAGCTGTGGGTACTTCTCAGCAATGACTTTCACCAGGTAATGCAGCAGAGTCTGCTTTCGGTCAGTGGACTTCATCTCCAGCAACTGTGCAAGAGTCTGCATCAGTCAACAGCCACAGCCACCCCTCACCCCAGACTGGACCCCTCCTCACCACATCCAGGCTCTGCAGCCGGAAGCCGTAAGCTGCCCCTCGCTTGCTGCTGTTCATGTAGTTACCAAAGGCCAGGACGATCTGCAAGGGCCAGGGTGAGGCTCAGTGGGATACCAGGGCTGGAGGAGCCCACAAAAGGGCACAGCACATAGAAGCAGCAAGTCTCATGCTCAGCCCCACTGTGCAGAGCGTACCCCTCGCTTCCCTGACACATGCACTTGTCCCGTGGGTGTGGGGGGTGAGCAGTGAGGCACACCCACTTTTCTCCTGTGCTGGTCCAAACCAGAATTAACATCTTCTCCAAGCTGTGAGGTTACTGCCCTCCTAGCAGCCATCTCTAGTCAAGTATGGTACACACCTGTCAGTCTAATGCTCTGGGAGGCTGAGGCAGGAGAACTCAGAATAAGACCCCAGCGTAAACAGTTTAGGGATTTACCCACATCCTATCTCAAGATAAAAGCTTTAAAAGGACTGCAAATGTAGCTCACACTCCAAGGCCCCAAGTTTGAGCTAATAAACAAACAAATATCAGCATCTCCATGTCCTCTGACCTCCACTAACACAGCACCTCCAGGCCAGGCATCAGGAGCTGCTGTGTCAGAAGTGAGAGCCTTCTCTCTGCTGCACCCCAGGCATGCAGGGCCTGGTCCCAGCCACTCCCCAAGACAGGCACAATGGCCAATGCCTAACCCCTTACAGGGCACTCACCTCCAGAATCTGGCGGAGTTTGTCAGATGACTTGATGGACATGGAGGCTGCAATGATGGCATTCAGTTGCTGGGGGAATGGAGGAAAGGTGAGTGGGAGCTCTTTCCCCATGGCCACCTGACCACCCAGCCACCAGGTCCCACTGCTGCCCACACGGCACCGGCATGAGCAGCTGGGCTGTGTCTGGGAAGCTGCCCAGGAAGGTGAGTGTGGCCATGCGCTCAGGCAGGCGCGGAATGCGGCTGAATCGCAGCATGAACTGGTCTTCCTCTGACAGCTGCTCCAGCGGCTGCCTCTCCTGCTCGAAGCGGGCAATGAGGCTGCGCTCATACTCTGTCGGTAGGAAGCGGGTCAGCAGCTCCAGGAAGTCCAGACCCAGAGCCTGCAGGTCGTACCTGCGGGCATAAAGAAGACCTCACGGGGCTGCTCTGCTGACTGAACAAAAGGTTATCAACGCTCAGACAGCAAAGGCCAGAGCAGGTTTCCACTAAGGCAGCACCAGATGCCCAACTGTGGAGCCTGTGGCCCAGGACAAGCAGACAGGGAGGTAGGGAGGGAGGATATCCCAAGCTGGACACACAACAGCTAGCTCTAGCACTCACGTCTCAATAGCCTGGCAGATTCGGTCGGCACTCATGTTGCCTTTACGCAGGGTGATGGCCAGGTTCTTGGCCCGGTTGGCCTCAATGAGCGTGGCCTGGCTAGGACCCTTCTGTGCAGTCCTGCCCTTGAGGGCGCTGAGGTCCAGGCTGGGACCCTGTGACTTGGTCTTGAACTGTTCCTCAAAGTCACTCATGTCCAGCTCCTGCGGCAGACAGGGTGGGCAGAGCTGGGGGGGGGAGCTCTTGGGAGCTGTGCTCAAAGCCACTAGCCTGTCCCTGATAGCCACCTGCCACGACAAACCAGCAACTCTGTTGACCAGGACTCTAGGCCTCTCCCAGGAGAAGAGAGAAGGAAGACTCGGCCGAGGTCCCACATCCAAGCAACACTTGGGAGAGCTAGGCCGGCCCAACGGAGGAGACACAAGCGCTCAGGCTGAGCTCTGGAGGCCACACGCACAAAAGCATGCACAGAATTCACTGCATGCCCCATTACAGCCACTAACCTGTAACACCTTCTCGTCGTTGAGCTCGTTGAAGACGGTGCCTGTGATCTGGCTGGGCTTCAGGGCCACCCAGTTCAGCAGCGGCATCCGGAACTTGGTCTGGATGGGCTTCTTGGTCTTCAAGCCTGGGAAGAGACGGGTGAGGAGCGGCCGAGGAGAAGCCGCAGGCGGGGCGGGGCGGGGCGCGGAGGAGCGGGACACAGATCATCAGGGGGCAGGGCGTCTGGTCCTCTCACCCGGGCCTGTCTCTGTGCCAGGCCCGCCAGGGGCGTCTGGGGAGCCTCCCGGGGGCGGCGGCGGGGGCGGCACCTGCCCCTCGGTTCCAGGAGGGGGCGGCGGCGGCGGGGGCACTTGGCCCTCGGTTCCGGGAGGCGGCGGCGGCGGCGGCGGCGGGGGTGGCGGGGGGACTTGGCCCTCGGTTCCGGGAGGCGGCGGCGGCGGCGGGGGTGGCGGGGGCACTTGGCCCCGGGTTCCGGGAGGCGGCGGGGGCGCAGGCGGGGGCTCCGGGGCGCCCAGAGGCAGTGGTGAGGGCGGAGGCTCCGGGGCGTCTGGAGAGGTGGGGGGGCCTGGCGGCGACTGCAGCAACGACGCGGCTTGCAGCGGCGATTCTGTGGGGGCCAGGAAGTCATCTCCCTGACCTTGGCACCACTCCCGCCCTGCACATGCTCAGCTAGGTTCGCTCACTGGCCCCGGGACCTCGCGCGAGAGAGCCCTCCTAGGCCCGAGCCCCCCAGACGCCCCCAGCGCCTTTCCTGAGGTCAGGCCCCCAAACGACACCCCCAGGTCTCTTCTGGGGTTCGGCTCCCTCAATTTCCAGGTCTCTCATTCCTGAAGCTTCCAGGTTCCCCAGATGTCCCCAGGTCCTGACCCCCAAAAGACGCTATCAGGACTCGCTCTTGGATCCCTAAGCACCCAGGTCTCCTCCTGGGTCCCCACCCTTACCTCCACAGACCTCCTATGTCCAGAAGCTCTCAGGGCCCCACCCCACCACGTCCCGGATGCCCTCCAGATCCCCTCCCGAGTCCCGACCCCCACTCCCTACGCACCTGGGCAGGGCAAACCGACAGGCGCCCCCGGAGTCGCTGCGTCCCTGCCTGGAGCTGCCGAGGCGACCGGCAGGATGTCGATGGCGATGGCGTCCCCGGGACCGCGCAGCACACGCAGCAGCCCCTGCGCCTCCAGCTCCCCTAGCTTCAGCTCCAGCGCCGAGGGCCGCGCTGGGGCCGGGGGCGCGTCTGCAAGGGTCCACACCTCACCGCTCGAGGGATTCGCCTCTCCCACACGCTCCTGTGGCGGAGAGGATCAACACCACTTGGGACGAGCCCCTTCCTCTCCCCTCTCTCCCCCTCTCCCTTCCCTCTTCTCCTCGCCCCTCCCCCTCCCCACTGCTCCCGCTTCCCGCTGCGCACCCGCAGTGTCTCCAGCTCCTTGCGCGCCTGGCTCAGCTGCTTCTCCAGCTCCGCAATCTTAGCCATGGACTCGTTCTCTGCGTCCCGCAGCCGCTCTGTCAGCTGCGACACCGGCTCAGGGTAAGGGGGGGGAGGCAGGCGGCCAGGAGCGCAGGGCCCCAGAGCGGAGCGGTGCCAAGCAAGGCCAAGTCGAGCCCGCGGTGCGGTGAGGGGACACCAAGGACTGGCCAAGGACAGAGCCCATGGGGAGCAGACCCCAGGGCACCGCAGTAAGGTGGGCAGGAGATGGGGAGCTGGTACTTCCATCCCATTCCTCTAAAACTCCGCGCACGGGGGAGTGGTGACCCCTAGGACAGACCTAGGGACTCCAGGTTTACGGTCAGAGCAGACCCAGGCCCCATGTTGCGCCTCACCAGTGTCGTCTGCTCCTGCAGCTCCTCCATGTGCTCCAGCACAGCGTTCTTGGTCTCCGTATCCTCCAGCAGCGTGCTCACATCAAACACATTGTCCAGGTAGGCCTGGATCTGCACTCGAAGCTTGTCACTCTCTGTGAGCCGGAGCCTCTGTCCCCGGGAGCAAGAGTGGGTGAGGCTCATGGGCACCCAGAGAAAGGAATCTGAGCCCAGCGTGCGTCCTCTGTTTTTATTCAGATGTAATTTGCATGCTGTGAAGCCTGCCACTGTATGGCACATGGTTAGGTTGTCATTCATAGGCTGTGTGGCTGTCACCACTGTCAAATCCCAGGAAGTCTTTATCACCCAGTAAAGAACCCTGCACACTCAGCAGTGACACCCATCCCCTCCTCCCCAGCCCCTGATAATCACTAATACTCTTTCTGTGTCAGGATTCATCCATACTGGACACTTTCGATAAGGAAACCACCACACATGGCCTTTCATTCAGTGAGACATTCCCACAGAGCAGCCAGCCTCAGCCTCAGCCCCAGCCTTTTCCTTCCACTGCGTGGAAAAACCCTGCCTGCTCTTCCTCGGCTTCGACCTGGCTTCCAAAACCTCTCCCAAAGGCCAGGCTCCTTCAGGAAATCCCAGGCCAAAGACCCCAATGTGAGTTGGCTCCCCATCATATACCAGGCAGCAGCATCCCTAAGGGGAACGAGGTGCCTGTCAAGTGCTACACTTTAATCACCCTCAGCTCTAAGTATGCTGTTTGACAGCCGGGAAGACTGAGCCGCAAGGAGTTGCCCAACCCAGGACTTCAGGCCTTCAGGCCTAGGAAGCAGCAGAGCCAAGATTTGAAGCTGTTGCTCCAGGCTGCAGTCCTGCTGTGCTGCAGCTCCCCGGGGGCGAGGGGGGGGCCACAGGGCACAGGGCTCACCTCCAGGCACAGGTCCAGGCCCAGGTTTGTAAACTCATACTGCAGGAAGACTCGGAAATTCATGTTTTCCACAGAGTGCACGACAATGTTGATGAACTGCACACAGGCCACCTGGGCAGGCACGCAGACACCTGGTCCTCTGGCCAGCATACTTACTGCCTCCCCATGCATCAGGGCTCCCTCCCAGCAGGGCGGCTTGGCCACTTAGTGTCCCCAGCTCACCATGAAGTCAATGTTGCTGTCCTCATTGCGGAAATATTCCATCAGCTTCTCAAAGCGGTGCCGCTCCCCACACACCTGCAAAGGGGGCGCCCTCGGGAGCTACCACCTGGCTGCTTACCCCTGTGCCTCCACAGGTTCCTGCACAGTCCCAGCTACATCAGCTCACGTCACTCTTCCCCACACTGAGCTCCCATCTCCTCCCGCAGCCCCACACTCACATCTCAGCTACACTCCTGCCTGAGGGCCTTTGCATTTACCTCCCCACCGGTTCCCTGCCTCCTTCACAACTGGGCTCAATCTTCACTCCTCATTGAGCTCTGCGCTGACCACTCTGTAATAGGCTCCCTCTCAGGGCAGCCTCTCCTTTTCTCCCCTCACTTTCTATCTAAAATGTCATTTTCTTATTTCCTTCGTTATGACTCCTCTTCTCCACCTTTCTATCTGATGCCCAGCAGCCCTTGGCAACACTTGATAAAGCAATGAGTGCATTCAGCCTCCCAAACCATGTCCCTGCTGCTAGCCAGGGCCACACTGAGCTTGGGCCTGGCCCTAGCAGAGCCCCCACCCTGTTCTCTGAACTTTTGGCAGGACTGGGCATGCTACCTCTTTGAAGTTGTCGAAAGCTGCAAGGATGATGTCGTGCCCTCCACGCACCAAGCACACAGCCGCCAGGAGCTCCAGCACCAGAGCCTTGGTCCTGGGAGGAGAGGGGCCAGGGGCTGGGCACAGGCAGGTGACACAAGGCACAGAGGAGGTGGCACCCTGGCCAGCAGGGCCATGCAACCTAGGGCCTAAACGCACCTGGGGTTCTTGTTGTTGAGGCTCAGCGTGATCTCGTTGACGCAGGCCGGGTGGTTCATGACAAGGCTAAAGCCAGACTGGGGACAGAGGTGAGGTCAGCAGGACCCAGCATCTGGCACCCAGCACCTGGAGCACAGTTGAGCCCTGCCCTTTCTGCTCCTCCTTCCTTAACTCTGTCATTTCTGAGCTAGTGCCTGGCAGACAGGAAAAGCTTCACCCATTGGCCCCGAAAACAGCAGGGCCCAAGGCCATCCACCCCTGCATGGGCCCACACGAAGCTCATCCTACCCCAGCCCGGCTGGAGCCCTGACCTAGCAGCAAGACCTGGCTCTGAGGGAAACAGGAATGCAGGAGGTCACCCCATCACCCACCTGGTAGTTCATGATGGCGCGCAGGCACATGATACAGACGTGGACGTCATCCTTCTGGCTGACGATGCGGGAACTGCGCAGTGCTTTCCTGCTGTGCGCGGGGGTCAGCCTGGATATTCATGGAGGCAGCAGGGTCAGCCCCGGGCCGCAGCTTTCTGCCTCCCATACATACGATGGCCCACAGTGCAAGGGTCCTTTCCTCAGGCACCAAGGAAGCAGCCACCCATAGGCCTTGGCATCAGGAACAGTCACCAGCGGCGGGGCAGGAGGGCAGGCAAAGCAGAGGCCACCACAGGCTACAAGGTTCCCCAGCAGGGGGCGCCCGTGGCCACCAGGCCCTGGTGACTACGGCCAGCCAGGCTCCTAGGAAGTGGTCTTGTCTCCCTATGCCTCACTTTCCCATTTTCCCACATAACTGGTGACAAGAGTCCCTTCGTGATAGGGTCGCTGTGACCAGGAAGTAAAGTCAGTGGGACCTGGCGCCTAGGAAGTACAGAATGAGTGTGTTCAGTGATCCTTGGCAAAAAGGTTGGCTATGTTTACTTTTACAGAACAGGCAACTGAGACTATGGACATGAGTCCCCTTGATGATATGCTCACATTTCCAACACACTGGGACCCCGGTCTTACCCACCAATGGGCCCACCCTGCCATGTGGCCTTTTCCTGGTGTGGTACAGACGCCCCTTCCCAAGTGGGTGACCTTCCTCACCCCCATCCAATGTCACCTCTCCTGGGAGCCTTCCCGAAGCCCCAGGCCACACCACATCCCTTTTCAGAGCCACCAGCCTGCAACACTGAACTCTTCCCCAGACAGTGGCCCGAGGAAGCACTGGCCACATATCTAACACACAGCAAACCCGAAAACATGTTTGTTGGATAAATGAACAAAAAAGCATGTTGTAAGAGGCAGGATCTAACACAGTAGTTCACATGCAAGACCCAAGGCAGGGCTTAGGTCCACAGGGTGCTTAAGGATACCCTCTCCTCCCAGACCTGTCCACACCAGCAAAACCAGGGGTCAGCCACACGCCTCGTCCGACCCACCACCAACCGACCAGGGAAGCCTGCCAGGCATGCACCTGCCCCCAGGTGGCTACGTACCGGGGAGAAGGGGGGCACCTGGAGGCCGCGTGGAGAAAAGAGGGGGTTAGATGGGTACGAGAAGACCCTGCCCCCAAGCCTCTCCTTATCCCTGACCCTCCCTGGATCCAGCCTAGAGGCTCCTAAGCCCCATGCAAACCCCGACTCCACTCTCCTCCCCAGCACACCTCAGGGCCACATACTTGACAGTCAGGTGGCGGCTCCTGGGCAGAGAAGAGGGTGGCCCCTTGCTGAGGTCCTCTACTGACTGCTCCAGGGGCTTGCCCTTCTCAGGGTTCTTCTCCCCACTGTCTGCGCTCTCTATGTCATACCTGGAAACAGGACACAGCACTCACAGGCCAGCATGGAGCACAGCCCCAGGATTCAGGAGGAGCCGCAATCTGGCTCCATCCCTCCCATCAAGGAGAGGCCTGCAGGAAGGGGTTCCCCCAGGCTGGGCACCCAGAAGGGGGCGATGACCAGATCCCAGCTGGGGGGAGCATAAGGGTTGGGGTTTGGGGGCTTACGTGACAGAACACTGGGCAAAGGCCAGATATTCAAGGAGCACGTCCAGGCCGCGGTTCTCCTCATTAAGGAACTCCTGCACCCACCTGCAGGACAAGGCACTGTGAGTCCAGAGGGATGCACTCCTGCTCAAGTGGGCACCAGGAGGCCACCAGCACATCCCACCCCAGGGACTCCAACCTACTGGGTTGCCCAGGCTCAGGGGCCCACAGCACAGCTAGGCTAGGGAAGGCATGCTGCTCCCCATGGCCCAGAGGGGCCATTGGAGCCTGAACTCACCCGATGTGGTTGGTTCTCAGGGAGGTCTCCAGCTCCCGAAGCACTTGTGTGGACTCTTGACCACGCCTCTTAAACTAGGGATGGAATAGGGAACCAGGTGGGTGGAGTCCAGCCTTGGCAGACCCTGCAAATCCTGGGGCCACAGCCATCATCCCCCACCCATAAACATGGCCTTTCAAGACCCCACCCCCTCACCACCTCCATACACCTGCCCAGCCAAATGACACAGTGGTGTGTGCCCCCTGGGCACTGACACACATCGAGGGCACACACACCCATGAACACATGGGGTACACATGAACATCCCAGGCCCACACACAGCACCTGGTACAGAGAGGATGCTCACACACCCACAGAAATATCCACATACAGAAAAGGGTACAGCAGCACACACAGGTACATGTGGACGCAGACCCACACTCTCCCTGTGCCAGCATACCAGGGCTCCCTCAGCCCCGACAGCACACGCGCCTCGCACTCTCGGGCACCCACACACCCACAAGTCAGGGCTCCAGCTCCAGCTGCCAGAGTCCCAAGGGGAGAGGAGACACCCAGAATGAAGGAAAGAAATACCCCCAGGTTGGACATCCAGTCTGCTGCGACCTTGCGGCTGACCCCCCCAACATCGAGGTAGCTCTTCAGCTTCTGGATGTAGGCTTCAGGGGGGTTCTTGACTTGAAACCGCTCCTGGGGAGGTAGACAGGTGGGCGGGGAGCCAGGCAGAGCTGCCCTGGGGATAAAGACCAGCCCCCCTGATACCTCTTCTCTAATGCAGGGCTTTAGGCATCCTAAGCAGCCTCTGAGCACCAAGGGCCCAGTCCTTACAGCTTCCTGCCCAGTGGAGAACACCCCAGCCCAGTGCTACCTGCTGCCCAACACCTTGGAAGCCTGCCTGGGAGTGGAATAGGACAGTTGGTTCATCCACTGCACCTCACGGGGTGGGTGGGGGGCTTCAGTGCGGCCAGCAGGAGGTGCCCTCTCTCCGCCCTCCCTGGACCTAGCTGCAGGACCGCATGGACCCAGCTTCCTGTAGGGTGAGTCCCTCTTCCAGGCGCTGCACCCAACCTCCTGCTCACCTGTGCAGTGAACACCTGTGCACTGTGGCTCAGATAGGACCCCCACAACTCCCCAGCCTCTCAGATGTGCCCAGCCACTCTCCCCCAGATCCTCTGTGCCCCATAAGCCATTCCCACAGCATGGGCCTCTGCCCAAGTGGCCACCTGGCCAGCTCATCCCACCCCTTCCATTACCAGAGCTCCACCAGGCCACGAGGAGGCCTTGCTTCTCCTCTGCCTACCCTGGAATCCAGTGCCACCAGCTTCCACCCCCTACCCCAGGCACTGCCAGGGGCTGCATCCTCACTGCCTACAGGGGCAATAGGGGCAGCCAGATGGACCCAGGGCCTGGATGGACTCCAGGGTTAGGGTCTCCTCTGGCTGGTCCAGGGCTGTCACCAGACTACCTCTCCCTGCGCCTGAGGAAAAGGACAGGCTTCCTGGCCTCCTCCCCAAGGGCTGAGCCTTCCCATCCAGCCCCACCTGGTTCAGGGTAGCATCGGGAGTGGGTGCCCTGGCCCCATCCTGCTCCTGACACCCAGGTCCAGAGAGACCACAGCCAGGCGAGGCCAAGGGCAACATGGAAGGGCAACATGCTGGCATCTGCCTGGTCAGGACGGGCGCAAGCAGGAGGGCAGCGCACCTGGTCACAGATGAGTTCCCACTTCTTCTCATCGTCATACTGGCTCAGCAGCTGCACCTTGTCCGGAGGCAAGTTCATGCAGTTCTGGGGATCAGAGTAGGGATCCTGAGCCTGGAGCCCAGAACCCTGGGGAGGAGTGGGCATCTTAGGGGCCCAGCAACACTTCTCAGTGTCACAGAAGACAAGTGGGATACCCACAGAGGCCAGGACAGAACACCTTCCCTAGTCCCCAACACCCAGGGCTTGAACCCAAGTCCAAAGTGCTATGTCACCCCATGTCTGCTATGAGGCAGATGCACTCATTCCCTGGGAACCCCAGGCCCCTCCGGCTCCAGGCTCCCCATCTTTGATATGGGGGCATCAGCTTTGCCCTGACCCAGGAGGGAGCTGACAGGAGCCTTTGCCAGGCAGGCCCAAGTCTTCAGGCACCTCCACCAGACACCACATGTACGGAAAGACCAGAAACCTCTCCGGTCCTCCCAGTCCCCCCACCATCTCCAAGAAACAAGGGCGGCAGGTGGGGACTGGGAGCTCCAGGCATGGGGAGCACAGCCATGGATGTGAGAGACCTGTGCTGCTTGGCCCAGACTGGGGCCCCTCAGGAGTCATGGCAGGTCTGGAGCCCTGCAGGGGCCATGACATCCCTGCTGCCACAAAGCAAGTGTCAGGCAAGCTCAACACTGTGCAGTCAATTGGGTGCCACGAGTACTTGAGACCCTGGAACCCCAGACTCAGCAAGCCTTCCAACAGACACCGCATCCAGGGCCAGTTTACCGCAGCTCAGTCAACCCCAAGTTTATTTGTTTGTTTGTTTGTTTTTGTATTTTTTGTATTTTTACCGGTACCAGGGATCGAACTCACGACCACATGCTTGCAAGGCAGGCAGTTATGCCACTGAGCTAAATCCCCAGCCCCTAACCCCAAGTTTATTGAGGCCCCAAAACACAGTTCTCACCTTGAGAGACCCCATTTTCACCCTAGTCCCCACGGGGTTTGTGGGAGCCCACTAGATCCCCAGCCCAGAGATGGAAAGACTGCTGTCCCCAGCTCCAGTGGTCTTGGTGGCTGGGACGCAGCCAGAGCTGGAGCCAGAGCAGCAAGCAACCATACTCACCAACGACTCCTCAGCCACCCTACCCTTTCTCGGGTAGGTGCTGGGCCTGGATCTGGGGCTCTGACCAGACCTCACCACAAAATCACTGCTGGAGCCAGCTCAGAAAACAGGAAGCTGGTGTCCCAGCCCTCTTTGCCTAAGTTTCTAGCCCAGCCACTCCCGAGGTGAAACTGCTCACCCCCAACTCCCAGCCAGCCTGGGCGGGGAGCAGGCTGAGTATGTCACCCTGTCTCCCATTATGAAAGCGAACCAGTAGGGCCTCATCCACCAGCCCGGGGCACATAGTGGTGGGCGCTTTGCACTGTGTGTGAGGAGGCCTGGAGGCCTCACTTCTCCTCTACCTCTGAGCCATCCCCCTGCAGAGATGCAGAGAGGCCTGGGAGCTGCATCCAGCATGGGGCCCAGCACCCGAGCCCTCAGGGCAGCACTTCTGGAGCTGAGCCACTTCCTAGTCTCACCTACCCAACACCTCTCTGGCTCTGGGATGGGCCAGGGACATTTCTGGTCATGACCATGATCCCAGCTATCAAGTGGCCAGCTTCCCTGCATCTGTATGGTGCCAGGAGCTGCTGGACGCCTGCCATCCTCACGGCCATGGCTGGCACCATCATCCATTGTGCCCACCCCACAGAGCAGGCCTGGGTCACTTCAGTGACTACCCAAGATTACAAGGCCTGGGACATTGACAGCCCAGCCCAGCCCTGCCCACAGCAGCCCAGGCCTCATGGGCCTGGCACACCTTCCAGCAGCAGACAGGGCCAGGCAGCCCCTGCCCTATGCCCATCTGGGCCTCCTCAGTCCAGGTCCACGTGCCAGCCTGCCAGACACACTAAATTTAGGCACAAAAATCAGAAATAGCTCTGACAGTGCTGAGCACTAATTAGCAGCTGCTCCCTGGCTGTGGCTGTGACCACCAAGGTGATGGGCACTCCAGGGAGAGGGGATGGCACATGCTATTCATCACTGGGGTGAGGCACAAAACAGGAGCAGAGCCCTCAGCATGGACACCGCACCAGGGGATAGAAAGTGACAGATAGTTGGGGGCCCTGCCTTCTGGGAGCAGCTGTGACTGGGAGGAGCTGGAGCAGGGTGCAAAGACCCAGGCTCACCTGGCCTACAGCTGCTGCCTTTGAAATGGGCACTAAGTCTGCCTCAACCTCCCAGGGCCCAGGGACACCTGGGGCTGTGCTGTGACAGGGGGATGTCCCCGTGACCCAGCACTGGGAAGATGGATCCCAGTGAGAGGGGAGGTGGGGGCCACAGAGAACCCCAAGGCAAGGCATGGGAAAGACCCATGTCTGGGGCTTGGTCCCAGTGACAGCCCCTTGGATCCTATGCATCTCAGATGCATATTTTGAGGTGAGACTGAGAGATGGAGCTGACCCTGAATCTTTCTACTAGAACGTGCAGGAGAAAGGTCTGGCTCCCTGCCCCATCTTCTGGATACAAAGAGGGACCCAGCTCTGTGTTCCTTGGAGGGAAGCCCAGTTTACCCCTGAGGCCACATCTGGACAGGGCCACACCCTGCAATTTCACTTTGAGTCTCACCAGAATCTGTATCCCAAAGGAACAGCTCACCTTCTCCCCAAGCCCAGTCCTTCCAGCCCCAGAATGCCCAGAATTTGGACCCCAATCCCAGGGTCTGGAGGCCTCGAGCTGCTGGCACTGCCCCCCACCCCGCACAGTGATGGCATCCCAGACTCTCATGCCCTCAGAATATCTTCAGAAACAGTTACTTTCCTGGAGCTCTGTGAGCAGCCCCAGGATTATGGGATGCCATATGGCGGCCCTGCTTTGGGAAGATGTGACTAGAACCAGGAGGGTGGCAGCGAGACACCAGGCCCAGCCCACAGCATGCAGGCTGGCAAGAGGACAAGATAGACAGTGATCAGTGCTCCCAAGCCTACTCTGGGTTTGGCCCACTCAAAAGCTTCATGCCTTCTCTAACCCTCAATGACCAGCATCCCACATAAATGCCACTATAACCCCATTTCACAGTGGAGAAACTGAAGCATGGAGCAGGTAAGTTACTTGCCCAGCTTCCTCAGAAGAAAGAGTAGCAGAACAATGGGAAGTGGGGGTCCTAGTCCCCCAGGGATCTTCTGCAGAAAGTCCAGCCCCAGGGCCCCCATCTGAGGAACCAGGACCAGCCAGCACCACTTCCTGCCACCAGCACCCTACACTTCCTGTTGTTACCCACACTGAGCTCTTACTCACTGGGGAACCGCCGCCGCCCCCCCCCCCCCGTATACCCTGTGTCAGAGGGAAGTAGAGGCTCCCCGCCCCCACATGTGCACACAGTTGCCGTTAGCCACCACACCCCATCCTCCCGAGAGGTGGCTGCTCCCGTGGTTTCCGGCCACCAGGCAGCAGTGGGCCTAGGCCTCCCTGGGGCCGACCTGGGGATGTCAGGCCACCTTGTAGGTCTCCTGAGGGATGAAGAGAGATAAGCCAGGGACCCCAAGATGGAGAGGCCCAGGCTGGCTCCCTTCCTCTCTGCAGAGAGTTCTGCTGACGCTTGCTGCACAGGAGGCATTGGGCTGATAGCCCTACGCGTGTCCCTCAGAATGTTCATCCATGGACCAGAGCAAGGCTCGGGTGGGTTAAGGAACCAGCCCACAGCCACCGTGGTATTAAGTGGCAAGGAAACTCAGCCCCCAAAATCATAACCCTCAAATTCAGAACCCTTCTGAGTCTCTGAGCAACCAGCCCCCACGAGAGGGGCAGAGCCCACACCACCTTCCTGGACTCTGTGTTCTCAGCAAATGCAGAGATGGCCTTGCCGCAGCCCCACCTGCTGCTGCTCATCTCGCCCAACCCACTGTCAGCTGCTCCAGATGCCCCTATGAGTCACACCCAGCACATCCCTGGTCCTGCCTCTGTCCATCCAGGGTCTGCCTGCAAAGCCTAACCCACCACCACCCTTCCTGGGGGACTACTGAGGCAGGAGGCCCAAGCTGAGCTCCCCACAGCCACATACCCTCAAGGAGCTGCCCAAAGGGCCACATCTGATGCAGGCAGGCCCAAAGGAACCTTCACCCCTATTCTTCACCTGACCCCAGAGATGGGGACAGGATACCCAGGGTGACACCCATCTGTCCCACCAAGAGCACAAATAGGAGGGTGCTCCCCCAAAAGCTCAGACCCTTTGAGGACATCCCCTGGACCCCCTTGTTTCAGAGGACTGGGATCCTACACCCAGCTGCATCCAGGCAGCCAAGAGAGGGTGCATCCCAGTCCCCCAGGTAAGGCAGTACAGCCTGGACAATACCTAGCCCAGGCTGAAAAGCGAGAGCTGGGCCGGCTGGCAAGTGCTCCACCAGCAGCTTCCCTGTCCCCGGCAGCCAGCCATCCCTCTGCACATTGCCAAGGCAGCAGCCTTGTCTCAACCTCTTTCCTCTCACTCCACTTGAAGCAGGGGCACCCTGCCTCCCACAGCCTTCTTGAAAAGGGGTGTCCCACCTTAGCTCCCACACAGGAGGAGGGCTCCCCATACCTCCCTCATCCATAGCCAGGAGAGGAGAGGCATTCTGAGTGCTATGTGCTGTTCTGCCAGGCAGAAAGGGTCCCCTGGGTCATGAGATCCCAAGGGTAGCACTGTGCTTCTTCCACCACGCCTGGGGGATCCCCAAGGTGGGGGCCCCTGAGCACACTGAAGTTCCACTCCTCTTAGACCCTGAGGAAGGACAGGATCCACCGGGCCCCAGGCTGGGATCCATGGAGATGGGGAGCCCTGGGTGCCCGGGCAGAAGTCAGTCTGTCACCCAGGGTGAGTGAGGTGCTGAGAACCAGCCCTTAGACAGGTGGCCACAGGCCATGCTCCTCAGGGGCCCAGGCTGCTGCTGTCCACCCCTCTCTCTAGGATGTACCCCTAAAGCTCCTTGCTGAGCCTCCCCTCCAGCCCGGTACTCGGGCCCAGGGAGCACCCCACAGCAGACCAGTCCACACCCCAGTCAGGTCCTACAAGCCAGCAGTACAGCAGAGGGACTTCTGGCCCCCATCTGAATTGCTCACAGGGCTCCTGTCCTTGTCCTTGTCCGTGTGCAGTGGGGCAAGTGGAGAGGGGCCCCCCCACAGCATCCGGATGCGGATGCCAGCAGGCCACCGACCACACAAGAGCCTTCCCAGCAACAGCTGTGTCCTACCCCACACGCTCCTGGAGGGGACAATGGCCAGTCCCAGGTACTGTGGACCCGGCGACCAGCAGGCGGGAGGGAAGGTGAGGGGCACCCCCTCCCTGCCTATGACCCCTCACTCTCACGCCAGCGCAGCCTGAAGACAGCCTGGTCTCATTGCCACCTCCCGTTTCCAGTCAGGGAGAGCAGACAGCAGAACCTTAGCGGGCGTTCAGCTGGGTCGGGGCAGGCTAGGAAGATAAGTGAAAAGAGACCCCTGCTCCAGCCTCAGGCCTTGACTTGGAGGTCAACCAGCTGTTTCAGGCGCCCTCCCCTGGCCTGGACTAGAGACCCCAACTCCAGCCAGGCGACAGCGGCAGCGGCGGGGTCCAGGCTGTGCTCCGCTGCGAGCGCAGGTACCAAATCCGGACCGCTCTTGCCGGCCTCGACCCCCGGCGCGGGGAAGCGACACAGGCCTCCCGCACGCGACACCGCAGCTCCGCCAGCCCCGCACCCAGCACCGAAGGCTCCCCGCACCCCGCCCGTACCCCGCCCGATTGCTTCGGGAAGTTGGGGACCGCGCCGCCCCCCCAGAACTCACCAGCGCACGCGAGAACCGCTCCTCCAGCTCCCCGGCCGCAGGCATCGGCTGCCGGGCACGGGGCGCGGCGGGGCCCAAGGGGGGCTCCGCACTACCAGCCGCGTTGCCCATGGCGGACCCCGCCCGCCTGCAGCCGCGCAGAGCCAGCGTCGGGCGAAGCGAAGCCGGGCGCGGGGGAAGTCGGGGCGGCCGGGCCAGGCGCCGGCGGGGGCAGGAAGGGGGCCCCCCGGTGGCGCACAACTTCGGCTGTGGCCGCTGGGGCGCGGGAGGGCGGGGGCGGGGACTTCGGGGCGGGGCGGGGGACAGGGCTTGGGGCACAGGTTGCAGCGTGCAGGTGGGGGAGGGGTGCAGATGGAGGAGGGTTGCAGGGCCGGAGCAGGGTGCAGTGGGCGCCAGGCAACGGTGCACGGAGGGCGCCGGCCCAGAGGCTGCCAGCCGAAGCGACCGGGACGCGGGACGCAGGACGCGGGGCGGCGGGCGTGGGTGGGGCAGGGGCCCCCAAATCCATGGCGCCGGTGGCGGGAGGAGGCTCAGGCCCCGCCGCTGCACCTGCCGTGGGCGAGGCGACCCTGCGAGGCCAAGGACGTACCCGGGTCCTAGAACCGCACCCCTCGGCAGCAGGGAGTGGGGTGCGGCCGTGCCAGGCCGGGATCGGCCGGGGCAGGGGCCTCCGAGCGGAAGCGTCCGCACTCGCTAGCACGGCGTCCCCGGCTTGGGAAGGACCCCCTTCCGGCCCCGCGCTAGCCTCTCCTCCAAAGGCGCCATCTGCAGACGGAGACCCCAGGTGCGGCAGGAGCCGGGCCAGCGAGACCCCAGGAGCCCGTCCCACCCGCGGCACCCGTGGCCTGCGGAAACCCGTGGGAGAAGAGGTCCGCCGGCGAGATGCGGGGCGAAGGCCTTAGGATGAAACCAACTGCGGCGCAGAGGGCAGGGTGGGGGCTCCTCCCGGACAGGTGGCCCGAGGGCTCCCCCAGCTTGGAGCATAACGACCTCTGCTGTCCGCACGCGGCGGAGGGAAGCCGGGGTGCTGCTGTTCTGGAAGGAACCAGGCCCCGGGCGCGTGGAGGCTATGCTGGGGCGCAGCGCCCTCCTCGGGCCGCGGGTGCAGAGTCCGCTGTCGAGGTTGCCCTCTTGCTCCCAGCCAGGAGACCGCAGGGCTCTGCCTGTGTGTCCCGGGTTTGAGGCTCAGCTGTTCCTGTCCTTTGCAGTTCACCCATGGGGACCTCGAGGGACCCCTGTCTACATCATAGGGCGCTGGAAGCCGAGAGTCCCGGGGCTCCTCCCTGCCCACTGTCGGCAGTGAGGACCCAGTTCAGGACCGCGCACTCGTGCCTCAGCCAGAGCTGGGAACTCAGGACAGAGTGTGAGGGCGCCCGGATGCCCAGGCCACTGCATTCCACACAACATGGGACACCCCTGTTTGCTGCCCAGCAGGGACCGGGATGGAAGTTAAGGAGATACTTTCTTGGCCTGCTAAAAGGGGACACCCTGCCCTTGAGACCAGCCAGGCCCTCCTTTCGGTATCTTATTTTAGGAACTGAGTCTCTGAGTCCCCAGCGGCTGCGTCTTTTTCAATCCGACAGCAGCGCACTCTAGCGCCGGCCATGGTACCATGCAGAGCCGGCTCCGTGCGGAGGAGCTCGACCCAGGGCTCGGTGGCTCTGAGGAGCAGCCGGAGCCGGCTCGCCACATCCTCCGGCCCAGAGCGCGTCTCTGAGGACAGAGACGATGGCCGTGCACCCTGGAGCTGCAGGTCAGAGCCACCGGGACTCAGTGCGGGCCGCTGTGTCTCAGCCTGCGGGTCCTCGGGCTGGGCCGACATCAAGGCCGGCAGGAGGGAGGTGGCGCCAGCACGCCCAGAGCTGGGCAGACCGGGCTTAGCAGAAAGGACGCGGTGTACCATTGCCTGTTAAATCAGGTCGGCCTGCAGGACCTCAGGGGACCCTAGGAGGCGGCTGGTGCCCAGTCAGACCGATGTTTAGGCCTGTGCTGTCCTCTCCTGGAAATCAGCGGTATGACAGCCAAGACAGGGCCTGGCTTCCAATGAGGATGGATGGCGCCAGCGTAGTGGCATTCTGATCATTGTCAGCGCGTCGCCTCCAATGTAAGGACTGTGCACTGAGCAGGTTCCTCAGCGAGTGAGGAATCTGCCTCACTTCTTCCCCCTGATCATTACTCACTCGATGTCTATAAAAAATGAAAAAGGGGGGCTGGGGATTTAGCTCAGCAGCATAAGCACCTGCCTTGCAAGCAGGCAGTCATGAGTTCGATCCCTGGTACCGATAAAAACAAAAAAGACAAAAAAGGGGGGGGCCTGCATAGCACATGCCTTGTAATCCCAGTACTCTGGGAGGCTGAGAAGGGAGGATCCTGGGCAACTTACGGAGAATTTGTCTCAATATAAAAACATATTCTTAGAAAGGACTGGAGATGTAGTTCAGTTAGAGGGTCTTGTTCAACTCCAGGAAGAAAGGGAGGCAGGGAGAAGGGAGCAGTGCTGGTCCTGGTGGCACATTCTTATGATCTTGGCTACTCAGGAGGCTGAAGCAGAAGGATACAGCATGGATAATTTTTGCAAGAGTCCTTCTCAAAATAAAAGGAGCTGAAGATGTACTACCTGGGTTCAACCTAAGCACCAGCAAAAAAGTAAATAAAATAAATGAATAAAGGTCCTAGTGTCAGTGTATGTGTCTACAGATGTTCTGGGTACAAGCCAGCAGTGTGCAGCTGATGGCACCTGGCTGCTCTCACTTTCTGCCCTGCCTGTACTGTCACCAAGTGTCACAGCTCATGTCTCTGTTCTCGTCCTGATGGGCATTTAGGTTGTGTCAGCCTTTGCTACTACAAACTATGCTCCCTACATGAAGTACCTTGGCTGATGTAGTTGGCCACACTTTTGTGCATCTGAAAGATAAATTTACAAATGTGATACTGCTGTGCTGAAGGTTATATGACTCTAAGTTTCAATATTCATAGAATTGCCCTCTGAAAATCCCCAGTGATTTTCAGCATGTCCCCCAGCATGCTCATGGACATGGGAGTGGCAGACCTCAGGGTCCAGGTGAGCCTCTGCGGCCCTGGTGATGGGGTCTGACCTTCCATGACTGTGGGTCTCTGAGGCTGGGCTGGGACTGTGTCCTTCCACCCCTACATGCCTAGCTCGGTGTCAGGAAGGGCTTGCTGTACTGGATGTGGTGATGCCACCTATGACCCAGCACTCTGGAGGCTCAGCAGGGTCACAGGTTCAAGTCCAGCCTGGGCACTTTAGTGACATAGTCTCAAAATAAGCAGTTTTAAAAACTGTAGATGCAGCTCAGTGCTAAGTTTCAACCTCCAGGACCAAGGAGTAGTGAAGCGTTTGCTAACCAAGTGCGGGTAAGAGGCCTACAATTCGGACAATAGCAAACCTGGAAGAAGTGAGGATCAGACCTATGCAGGCCCTGGAGGGGGTGCTGTCCCAAGCCCCAGAGCCCCTGCCACTGCTGACCATCTGCAGCAGGAGCTGAGGAAGGCCCTGGGTTCCCAGGCCTACTTTCCCACCTCTGCCTCCTAAGTAGATATATTGTCATCCTCGTCGTCGTTTAGAAGCAGGACCTCACTACACAGCTCAGCCAGGATGGGCCTTATCATCCCTAAAATGGCCAGAGGCAAAAAATCAACCAAGCACCCCAGTTCTGCAGTGGGGAAAAAGCCTTCTGCCTTGCTGTGCTGTGTGGTAGCTACTGAGTACTCAACATGCTACTAGTAGCCAGAGGTGGCAGCTCACACTTGTGATCCCAGCACCCTAGGAAGCTGACACAAGGAGGCTGCAAACTTAATCCCAGCCTGGGAAATTTAGAGATCCTGTCATCTCACTGTGAAGGCCCTAGCGCCACCACCAAAAAATCAATTCAATCAAGGTAAAATGTAGAGGATTTGAACAACACAATAAACAAGTTTAATCTATAATATTTATTCAGTTATCCTTTTCCCAAAGTGTGTATACATTTTTTGATCAAATACATATATAGCTGTGGGGGTTGTTTTGTTTTATTTTTAATAGTATTGGGGATTGAGCCTGTACTAAGTGCTCTACCACTGAGGCACATCCTCAGCCCTCTTCTTACTTCATTTGAGATAGTATCTTACTAAATTACCCAGGGTGGCCTGAACCTTGGGATCTTCCCACCTCCGCCTTCCAAGTAGCTGGATTACAGGTGTGCACTACTGTACCCAGCTAACAGAATACTGTGACTTCCCTGCTCTGGACAATTTTAAATCATACTTTTGCTTCAGGTTCATGTGGAACTTTACCAAAATGAACACATATCAGACCATAAAGCAAATCTCACTCAATTCAAGAATCAGACACACTTTCTACCACAAGCAGACACTCAAAATCAATTTTTTTAAGATACCCTCATGAATTCGAGAAACATCAAGGGGTGCTGTGGTCAGCTTGAAGACCTGAGCAGGGGAAATGGGGTAGGCTCCCAGACAGACTGCAGTCTGGCAAATGTGCTTTTAAGAGGACCCAGGAATGCAGGTTCAAATAAAAAATGCTACTCCAGGGGCTGGGGATTTAGCTCAGCGGCATAAGTGCCTGCCTTGCAAGCAGGCAGTCGTGAGTTCAATCCCTGGTACCGATAAAAAGGAAAAAGACAAAAAAAAAAAAAAATGCTACTCCATTCAATCTGTTGGTCTTTAACAACCACACACCACAATAAACATCCATTATATTTAGTGAGTTCACTCATTTATTCATTCATCAACCAAATCCACACTGACTGGGCCCTGGGTAGCAGGAGAGTGGCTGACATTTACACGTGGGATGTGGATAACCCTGCCATGTATCTTCCTCATGAGTAAGTAGAAACTTCACCAAGGCAGTGTCCACTGCTGAGTTACCAGGCTCCCAACCTTGAGCCTGACCTCTAGGAGTTCACTAAAGCGGAGGCCAGGGCAGTGGCGTGCTGTTGTGATGTGTGTGTGGAAAGTACTTGTGCTTGGTCCCTCCCTTTACCTGCCAAGTACCTAGAATCACAACCTTCCACAAACCTGAAGTTGGACACAACAACAGCTAAAATACTGAGCCTGCCAATGTTTGGTGATCAGAGGCAACTGGTCAGGCTTTGAACTTGGTGTGAGTCTAAGAAGACTGACACTTAGGGGCTGGGGATTTAGCTCAGTGGCATAAGCGCCTGCCTTGCAAGCAGGCAGCTGTGAGTTCAATCCCCGGTACCAAGAAAAAGAC